AGGGTCTCCCATGGCAAATTGGTCTCAGGGGAGGGACCAGACGAAGAGCGATTCAAAAAAATATACTTTATTACTTCTTTTTGAAAATAAAACTCTTTAAACTACATTTATGCTGTACCCTTGTTGTTATCAAACTCTGATAACTCTTTTGCAAAATTTTCTTTGATAGTTTTCCCTGAAAGGGTCGTTGTTGTTTGAGTGTGACTCCTCCTGTTTACACTATATACGGTAGTTGTGCAAATTACAATACACAAACTGTAAAATGTTCACTGCTCAGTGTTTTCAGTTGTTTTTACTTTCAGTGGTGACATTTAGGACTACGATTACCATGTTGAATGTGTCTAATAATTGTCTCTAACTTGTCCTCATGACCAGTTTTCACTCATTTTACATAAGTTTTTCACTGAATGGTCGACACTGTTGTGTTCTCACTGACAGTAGAACTATGGAAGCTAACGAATTCACAGAAGATTCACAGTGACCTGCAGACTGACATGAGTGCCAACTGCTGTATTGACTCCCGTGCACACAGTATTAATCAGGTGGTCATTATGTTGTGGCTGATCAGTGTACTGTATATGAAACACTCCATTTACCTGTTTATGAGTTGGGCAAAGTTTCATTGCACATAAATGCATTTTTGTCATTGAAAGCTGCCTTGTAAAATGTGTGCTTGTGGTGACGATGATCATCAACCATTACTTTCACAGAGCTGGAACAGTCAGATTTGCGTAAGTGGCAGAAGGTGGGTGCAAATCCCCCTGGGGCCCAGGGCTGATTATTGATTAAAGGGGATTAAAAAGAGGGTCAGGACTTGGCTACTAGTGTCACTCTGATGCTATTGTGGTTGTCATTACAAGTGTAGTAGCCTCTCTCAGGACTAAATATGTGGATACTGCCAGAAATGAAACAGAAAACAAGAGGACAATGTTTGATTTTCAAGGTGAATGTTGACCAGCCTAAGGTAGGGTTAGTATTTTCAATGTGCCAGCCATTTCTGACATTTTTTTTTTTTTTTTTTGGGAACCTTGTCCAGACAGAAGTATCAGCCGCTGGATTAAAAAGGAAATTGTTTTATTTTTAATCAAATGGCATCTTGTTGCTCTTCTCTTCACAAATAACTGATCACGTGTCATTGCATTTTGTCTTGGTGTTTTCTATTCCTAGAAACTGCTAAGTGAGAGCACATTCATTTTGTGCATTCATCAATGTAGTATCGCAGAGCTGTCAGCATCTACCGTACAAGAATAATGCAGCATCCACACAATATCGGTCATGACTGCCAAACTAAGCTTCTTATGAGAACACTTGCAGAGAACTGTTCAACCAACCCCCCTCCCCTTTGTCCCACACATTCACTGGAGGATAACCTGTTTCTCTCCCTCACTCCACCTGTATCCCACCTTTAATTCTCCCTGAACTTTAAAGAAAAACCAAAAGAGGAGAAATATATGATGGCTGTCTTAAGAGTGAAGTTCTCCAAGACCAAGAGGGACAAACTGGCCCAGGTGCTGTGGATTCTAAACTGGATCTCAGTGGTGACAGGGGCCATCCTGTTTAGTCTGGGGCTTTTTCTCAAGGTGGAGATCAACAAGCGAGGAGAGCTGATGTCTGAGAGGAACGTCCAGTATGGGCCAAACATGCTGATAGCCGTGGGCCTCATCGCCTGTGCCATCAACTTCCTGGGTGGGAAGATCTGCTACGACTGTGTGGACACCACTAAATTCTTGCGCTGGAAGTTAGTCATGATGCCCTATATTATATGCACTTTCTTCTTCACTTTTTGTGTCCTGGTGGGGGCTCTGATGTGTTACAGCATGCATGGGGAGTTGGAGGAGTCTCTGAACCTCGGTCTGACGGAGGCCATGAGGTTCTACAAGGACACAGACACACCAGGACGATGTTTCTTGAAGCGCACTGTGGATATGCTGCAGATAGAGTTCCAGTGCTGTGGCAACAATGGCTATAAAGACTGGTTTCAAATCCAGTGGATCAGTAACCGATATCTAGATATGTCCCAGAAAGAGGTTTTGGAGTAAGTACAAACAGTTGAATGTGGACACTGAACATGAGTTGACACAACTTCTTCCTTAACTAAAACAATATTAGAAATGTTCTAGACACACACTTTATAACATGTTTAACATTTTAACAGAGTACAGCACTCTCAGCAACAGGAAAAATATATTTAAATACCAGTCTAATAATTTCCATACAGTATTAAACAGTGACATAAATATCTAATCTTCACACCCCAAACCCAGTAACACAGAGCCTGACCTTTTCCTTCTTTTCTCTGTTCTCTAGCCGATTGAGAAGTAATGTGGAGGGGAAGTACCTGATGGATGCAGTCCCCTTCAGCTGCTGCAACATTAACTCGCCCCGGCCCTGCATCCAGCAGCAGGTCACCAACAACTCTGCCCACTTCATCTACAAGCACCAGACGGAGGAGCTAAACCTGTGGATGAAAGGGTGTCGCCAGGCTCTGCTGGAGTACTACACCAAAATCGTGCAGTCCATTGGGCTCACAGTCCTCATCACCTGGCTGTTTGAGGTGAGGAAATACAGGTTGGTCAACACAGGTGTTCTTAATGGAGACGTTACAGGGGGACAGTGATTTTACACATCAAAGTGTATTACAGGTGTCAGGAAGCACTACTGCATAAGCGTAAAAAAAAATAGTAAAAAGTCTTCTGTAGCACCAGAAAAAGTTGCACAAGATCTGATAAACTGCCTCAACTGATGTCACTTGAGCCAGTTAGGGCTGATGTTTGAAAAGCTTGAAAATCTGGTTGGTTAATTCTGTAGCTTTTTTTTTTTTACCCGCTGTAAAAAAAAATACTTAAGACAATAGTGGAGACGTTTGGTGAGACCTCAGCCTTTGTATTAACAGTTATTGCACAGTCACTTCACACACCTGTAGTGCTTAATCCCCAAGTAAATCTCTGCTCTCATTATCTCTGGGTCCATGCGGCACTTGAAGTGGACTCCTCTGTTGTTGTGCTACATGTCAGTATCTTAATAAATCTGTTGCAAAGCGGTCACAAAGATGCAATTTATATACAAAATTACACCATACCACACGGGCGATACAGGCAAACTACTTAGTTCACTTTTCATGTCTTGTTTTAGCTATCAGTTTTGACAGGGGTTCGTTACCTCCAGACCTCTCTGGAAAACGTGCTGAGACAGGGGGACCCCAACGCTGAGTCTGATGGCTGGTTGCTGGAAAACAGCTTCATGGAAACGGCCCGCACCAACTTGATCATCATCAAGAGCCTTGGCAAGGGCAACCAGATAGACACAGCCAACGATGGAGACCCCAACATTAATGTTCCCTCTACTTCTAAAGCACGCTAGGGCCAGACAATGTGCCACCGAAATCGGTTCACCTTTCTCAGGCCTCCATGGCATCACCACCAAAGGCGAATAAGGGCCTTAATGTATCTGAAAGTGCAGTCAGGGCTTAAATTAATATATCAAGAATATGTAGCACCTTTAAATTAGGCCTCAAGTTAAAAAGGCCTTGTAAGACCTGAAAGAATATGATGATGAATGTCAACATTTTGTTCTGGGTATTCAGAACAACAGTATCATTTTTGGCTCCTTTCCCTGTGTTTTCACTGGGCTTGAAGGATTAGCAAATGCATTAGCAAACAAAGTTGCACCAAGAGTAGCATAGTGTCATATGTACAATATTTCTGTGCTTTTGCAGTAGTTAAAACCACAACACCAGACTCAAATTTACAAGTAATTGATAATAGATAAGTTGTCTAGCATTCAAGCCTTCATTATGATGAATCTACTGTGCCTCTGCGATGCCACCATGGTTCATTCATCTAAAAACGTGCGAGGTGTTAAAATGAACAATTCAAAATTCAAGCCTTGTAAAAAAAAAATTCTGCCTGTTTTATATGATGGACGAAACAATAAAGGACAGTGAACAGATCATGTATTAGCAAACTCGGAGGCAATGCAGTGTCAGACACCCTGTGTTGGAGCGCCTCCTTTTGTCCTGATTGTCTACTTTTTAGATAAAACAAAATGTGACACTACTGTATTCAAATTGATTCAGGGGACAGCGCATTTGTAAATAGGCTAGTGTCTTTATTTTTACAGCCTGGAAGTCACGTTCAACCAACACAAAAAGGAAGAAAGAATATATTCACACAATTTGTCTTGAAAACGGTGAGAAATAATAGAGTAACTAAAAAGATACACTTAGAATTTTTTTCAATAAAATGTACATTTTTTTCTTAAATAGAATATTGCAATTTTTTAGTAAGTGAAAAAAACACCATATGCTGAATCTGTCTAAAAGTGGTCCGTTCAGTTTTTATCATTACAAGACCAAATATCTTGGTATTTCTCTGTCCCAGTCTTTACAGTACGTCATCAGTTTGGGCTAATATGTCAATTTAATTATAAATGTCCAAATGTGACATATTTGGGAAGCTAATCCTACATAATTAGTGGGCAAAAGCATAAATGTGTGGGACGTCTGATCGTGCCAAAGCATTTCCAAATGAATGTATTCTCAAACAGGATCAATCAATGTTATAACTTATGACTAATAATTTCTACCACAAAAGAACAATGCAGAAAATTCACAGCATTACTGATGAGAGAAAACAAATTACATAAAGACCCATGTCAGTGTGTATATGGTGTTTGTCTTTATTTGAATGAGCAATCAACATTACTCTAAGAGGAGAAACCTATTCTCACAGCAGACAGTCAATTAAAACAAGGCGACTGGGGTTTGCTCCTAATTCATCACCCTCCATTATTCTTTTGCACCTGTCGGGACTCCAGCGTCCAGGAGGGACTGGCTGTTCAGGCCAAGGCTGTTTGCTCGTGTGTGTGTATATATATGTATGTGTGTGTGCGCCACGTGAGCACTGAAGCAAACTGTGCTCCTTCTTCCCCGGGCACCAAAGCTGGAGCAGTCATCAGAACATCTGCCACTCAAAGGCAAACATAACATTGACCACCTCCAGGCTGCGGGCGATTTCCTCCAGGATGCAGTGCTGCTGCCACAGCTGGTTCAGCTTCCTGTAGCGCTCTGGGCAAAGGTGCAGTGGATTGCCCCTTCTAGAAATGAAAGCACAGAAGGCCTAATTGGTTATACAGCTCATGGTAGGGGCTATATGCTTAACTTTACATGCAATAAGCATTCTGGGGATTTTTTTTTTTTTTTGTTAGTGTGTTTGTTTTAGGGCTGTCAAAGTTAACGCAAAATCCTTTTAATGCCACAAGTTTTTTGACAAGTGTTTAACATACGTAACATTCTGTGATTATGACCCTTGGCTCGCCCCGTAGTTTGGGAAATCAGGAAGCGATGCAGCAGGGCACCTGTATATGTTAAACTTTGGACAAGCAACTATAGCTGTCAGATAAATGTAGTGGCGTAAAAAGATCAGTATTTACTCTGAAGTGGAGTAGAAGTATAAAATGGAATCTCTAGACAACTGTAGACACTCTGGTGGAGGAATGCTTTCAGTTCTAGCAGCTGCATGAGTCAATATTAACATTCATGTAATAATTCAGCACCTGCAAAAAAACAATGATTCTTACTCAAGGTGAGGATCAGTCTCCCCGTAGTCGTCCAAATAAGGAGCAGGGTATGTGCTTCCTCGAGTCTTACTGGCCATCAGTACAATTTCACACTCTCTTATCCTGTCAACATGAAATCACATATTTATATAGCATATTTTATTCAATGAAGACTGAGATCTAACAAAATCTTAAGGAAAAAAGAAGAAAAAAATTAAATAAAATCTCGACCTACCTGAGGAACATGCCCACACCAGCACCACAGGTAGCGGCATGAGCGGTGCAAGCTCCCACATCTTCCCCATCCAGCCTGCTGAGACAGCAGGAGCTCTGAGAGCACAACATGGCCCCGCAAAACAGGCAGAGGGTCGGGTGCTTCCTCTCATCATCTGTAGACTTAGGACACCTGAGAAGTTGAGAGGAGACAAGAGGGTTGAACATCTGCAGCAAATTTACCACGAAGACATGGCGATTGAAATGTGACTTTCTCCACTTACTGAAAATGGCTGGCCTGATTGAGGAGAGCGCTGTAATCTTCAGGAAGATCAATCAAACGATTCCTCTGCCTAGGGTATCTACGAAAAGAGTTTAGTGATCACTGATAAGGAGGTGTTTTTATTACAAAACAGAAAAGTTGTGGATTCACATAAAGCTTACCTTACAGTCTGGGCTTTGGTTATAGCTGGGCTTCCACACCACCTAAAAAAAAGAAAAAAAAAAAGGCATACCTCTCTAGGAAATGCTTAAAAAAAAAACAATATACATTGCGCTTGCCTTAGTGTTTAACACCTACCTGTGCAGCAGTGGAGTAACAGCATCTCTGTGCTCCTGGAAAAGCTGGAACACATTCGAAGGTAGTGCCAAGTAACTGCATAGTGCCTCCATCTGTCCTTGAGAGGCAGCTGCAGTAGATCAAAACTTTCAGCCTGAATTCATTAATCAACATGTCACACACAGTGCGTTATAAAGATATACTGCTTCGCATCGACCTACCAGAAGTACTAAAAAGCTCCTCTGGAGGATGAACTCCTGTAAGGCAACTGAAAAACAGAGCAGCACAGCGCAGGAAAGGTTTGATCCCCTTCTTCACCCGCTCTGCCACAGAGCTGCTGGACACATCTGGAATCAGCCTAATGAGCAAACCACAGAACAGTCGGTTAAACAGGCTGAAGATGGTCAGTATCACTATATACATGGGAGCACGCAGCATGGAGAGGGGCCTTGAGAGTAGGAAACAGGTGGCAATGCATTTGCCTCCACTCAGTAGGCATTTGTTTCTATTACAAACAGGCAAGCTCACTTCCTCTCAAGACTGATTATGAAACAGGCTAATGAAAAATTCCATAATTAAAGTATCAGCACAAACATAGTCTGTTCATGGGTTTGAAACCCCAAATCACATCTAGATAAATGATTATAAAAGTAGGAAATCCAAAGTTTTTATTGACTGTTGACAGCATGTTGCTGTTTCTGCCTGATGGAATCTGTAACAGAAACAGTTTTTTTATGCTTGTCGCTCTTAGGGGAGAGAGAATGTACTTATCAACTGTCAACACAGACATTTTAATGGCAGGTCACGCCACCATTTTGTTTACTACTACTACCCTAATAGACAATAACTGAACAGTAACTCTACAACCAATTAAATTCACAGAAATTTTAACAATATACACATATTAAAGGAAAAAGTCTGCTCATATACTGTGGCAATTAAATAATAGGCTGATGAGAAACAATTGTACCCTCCGGTGTGCTGTGACACTGCAGCATACAGCTCTCCCGCCGCTCTCGCCTCCTCTGTCTCCTCTCCACCCACCACTGTGGGAAAATCTAGACAGAAAGTACACAATCATTTCATTGTCCTTATTTCTCCACAGCATTCGGTGGTAGTTTGGTAAATGGTAAATATCAGTATTGTTAGAGCAGATTCTATAGTTGAGCTTTTCACTGTTTGCACCTGCAGTGGAGAGGAGGACCTGCAGTACATGAGCCATGGTGACCAGATGCAAGATGTGCAGGTGGTTGTAGGCAGAGCTGACAGCAGACGGCTGCAAGTCCACAGCCTCCTCCTGATACAGTGAAGGTATAGACAACACCAACCCCACCTGACGAAACACACACACACGTCATTAACAGAAGATTTTCATACACTAATTCTGACTTGCAAATTAATGCTTTAATCCATAGAACCATTTTTATCAAAATTACAAAAAACAAAACATCAAGTTTCATTATTAGGAGAACATGAACACACGTAATTAATAGTTCCATTATTTTAATTAAATAACTGAATGACTGTACTAATCATAGTTACAGTGGGACAGAATAAAAGAATAAATTTGATATGCGTCATTTAGGAATGAGGACTAGGTGAAGGAGCACAGTTCCCTTAAGGGGAGACCTACCAAAAGATGGACAAAGTCCACCTCCAGAAGAGAAGGGGTGTTTTTTCTGCTCATAGCTGGCAACAAGACTGGGAAGAAGACAACAAGGACAATTTTATAGTCATAACCAAGTGATAAATAAATATGATGTATAGAGTATGCTTGGATGGACCGCATACCTCCCAACATGTCTGTAAAGTGTCTCTGAATGACAGCGTGAGAGCTCTTAAGTCTCTGGGATGCTGCAAACTGAACTATTGCCTTCAGACCTGTGAGCTAAGACAGAGAAGAGCCTTAAAAAACTGGTATTTAACAACAATAAACCCAGACCAAGTGCGGCAGGTGTGATGGGTGCTGGCTAGTCACTATGTGGTGTCCAACCTGTCTGTTTTGTAAGGACCCAAAGAGTGGCTTGTCCTCTTCCTGCAGTATGTTTTCTGTGAAGACAAACAAACAGGTGTTTTGGGGATTAGAAAAAAAAGAGAAGAAAGAAGGGATTAGATCGGTGCTAAAGCAGGAGGCCTTACCTATGGCCTGAATAGTGAAGGCACATGTGTTCCAGGCCATAAGGGGCACATGTGGGCACAGCTCATTGGGTGCTGTCTGCAAGCCCACCCTGTGGACCGTGGTGGCACACACGACTAGCATGTCCATTATGCTGTCGGAGAATTTTCTCCTAAAAACAAGCAGCAGATCATTCAGGACACCGAGCTACAGGAAACAAAGATGCTCAAGTAACACTGAAGCAGAGCAGTCAGCTTCACTCACTGTTCTTGTACTCCATAGCTGAGGATGGATCTAAAGTCTGGCTGGCTCTCTCCACACAGCTCTGTGTCCCCATCGCCACTACTGCCCCTCTCTGAATATCAATACCAGAAAACAAGTGAATGCAGACACTAGAATATGAAGGCTGTTTGAGAATATAGTACGCTGGAGAATAAAACTTTCTACATTTGCTTTACAGTAAAACACCCTCCATCAATTAAAGGCAACTGTGGCTTCAACTGCAGTTCTGAGTTCACATTAACAGTGCGCTACCAAAGAGATGTGATTACTGCATCCTCAGCATCTCTTCTTACCATTATCCTGAGTGACTGACTTGAGCCCTTTAATCCTGGCAGAGAGGACCTGGATCCAGCGAGGTAAGGTCAAATGCTGTCCAATTATCTCTGCATTTTCACTGCACACAGGAGACAGAAATTCTAGTAACTTCTATCCATTTGAACATGCAACAGACAACTGTAGACTGACTTGAAAAAGGTGGTCTGAACTTACTAGTTAAATGTTACTTGTTCCAACGGGATGAGAGGGACAACAGTATTGCACAGAGACTTGCACAGTGGACACAGGTACTCCCCATTCTCCAGGTCAATGATCAGCTCAGCGTGGAGCCGGTTCCTCGTCATATTCTGGACTGCCTCAAAATATCTGAAAAATACAATGTTATCTAAATGTCACATACTATACAGTATAAAGGGACTACAATCTGAATAATATTTAACTGGCCAAACCCGTTTATGTAATGACTCACTTCTGCCAACATGTGGCATGCATGACGTGTCCGCAGCTGCCAGTGTGGGTCCCCACTGTCAGTTCAGGAGGCATAAACAGGGGATATGATGTCCCTGTTCCTTTAAAGCATAAATACATAATGAATCCAACTGAGATTTTTAACCTATAAATCTGCAGCTGCCACAAGTTAAATGAATAGTTCATGGAATTGAAACTGACCTGGTGCTCTGTTGGTCGGTAGCTTTCCTCTGCACTGCGTCAGCACTGTGGACCTCTGAACACATGCGGTCATTACCATGGCTGGAGCCTGAGCCAGCACTTCCTGCTCCTCCTGGCAGAGGATGCAGGTCAGCACCTCCCTCTTGGCTGGGGTGGATCCTCGGTGGGGCCCAATGGCTACACACAGCTCCCTCTGCTCTGTGGTATAGCTAAAGGAATTAACATAACCCAAACTAGAATTAATAGAACTAATATGATAAAGATCTTCACCTCAAGTCTGTGAAACACACTCATGGAGTTTTCAGAATGTCTCAGCTCACGTATCATTAGATGTGACGGGTTCTCCCTGTGTTCCGCTCTCCGGCATGTTGTCGTACAGCATCTTGTTTGATTCAATGAAGTTCTTCTGCATTGCTGACATTTGGGCCATAATCTTCTGTCGGTGGAGCTTGGCTGCCTCCGCCTTCCTTTTTCGCTCAGCTTTCTCTTTGTCCTGAGCACTCTGGACCAACCAAAAACAAGTACATCTACATAAATCTACGGTTTCAACTACATGAAACTGCACAGCAAAATGGTTATCAGTATTTGATTCACAATTATCATTCACAGTTCATTTTTATTTTACCTCTTCTGGCTTTGTTGTTTCCACACTCATGGATGCTGTTGGACTTGAGTTCTCTCTAAGGCACTTGACAATCTCAAACATCTAGAAGAAGACCATATCAAATGTGAGTGTAACTGGAAAATAAATCAGTCCAGAAAGTCAGTAATGTTTTTGGTTGGTAATATTTATACCAACCATGTAGTATGAAGCCTGATGGAACAGCAGAGCCTACCTGTAGAAGCCATTTGAACATGTCTTTTTGAGCTTCAAGTGAAGGAAGAGCCTTAATCTTAGACAACAAGAGGAACACTGACTTGCCGTGTTCTGAACCGATGCCTGGAAAAGCAGATGAAACATCCTTTGAGAACTATGATGAATAGTAATTCAAACTAGACTTTCCACTTTGCGGTTATATGCCTCTAACAACCAGTCAAATTCACAGAACGTGACAGATGTGAGGTCACTGTGACTGTGACCTTTGACTATCAAAAATCTAAGCAGTTCATCCACAAGTCAAAGTGGACATTTATACCAAATTTGAAGAAATTCCCTGAGATGTCGCTGGACAGACAGAGGCATAAAAGCTGTTAACTGGATCTCACTCACTGCGAGCCTTAAGGCTGAAATCAAAGGTCACTTCCTCCACAGTGCTGTCCTCAAGCTGAGTTTTCTCTTCAAGCAATGCCTGACCAATCAGGTGCAGAGCCTGTGAGACAAAGGTATGCATTTTTTTTTTTACTGCATGTCACTTATGAAGCAGGGTAGACTTTCTACTGAAATAGATAAATGTAACATGTACCCGCTGGATCATGGCTTCTGTCCAGTGAGATGCGTGGTCCTCTGCAGCTCCCTGCAGGATGAATCTCAGGACGTGGATTGTAATGTCACAGTAGAGCAGATTCACTATGCGTGAGAAAGCTGGGCAGAACACTGGGGGCACTGGAGGATGGAGAGCTAAGCACGAACACAAACAGAGGGAATGTTAGTAGAGCTAATTCAGTATCAGCCAGATTACAGATGGACTGTCACATCTAAGAGCCTGTGCAGAGCAAAGATGTTGGTCACCTTTATCACTGCCCTCCTGAGTCCTCCTCTTCTTCTGAGACTCTTCTGCCTGCAACAAGCAAAAAATAAGAATGGCCTGAGGGATATTCAACAGAAGTCATTTTACTGTAAAACTGTTGATGAAACTGTTACCTTGCTGTGCTGGGATTTTGAATAATGGTAGAAAAAAGGGTTGAACTCTGCCAGACACTCTTTATTCACTTCATATAATCCATGTCCTGAAACCCCAGGTTTTCTAAAAGCAGAAGCAGAATAGAGAGTTCAGTTAACAATACACTGTTAATAGATTAAACCCTCTGAAAATTCATTTTCAAAGGAACATTTCACAGTAGAGATGGGTGATGGGACGATGCCGTCATCCACTGCCAATGGCTGACAGGCATAATGATGGGGACCCGCCACTGTGATTTAGCTGTTTCTGGTTAAAATGACATCCAGCAGGGTCATACCAGCTGTTGCTAACCAGCGTTAACTCCATGATTTTAAACTGATGACGGAACAAAATGAAACTCTCTGCTATCAGGTTTATGACCTCACTGCAGCCTGTGGACAATAAGACAACACCGCTGTCTGCTGTTAGCCGAAGATCATTTATGAGATAGAGGCATCACTCTGTAACACCACTGAATAATCAGAGTCAACTGAGTGTTTCTAGGTAGTTCCAATAACTCCAACAGAGTGAAATGTCTTTACAGCTGATCTCACATCTACGCAAATGGTCATGAAGATTTGCAATCTATCATATTACACTATATATTATATAAAAACTAATTTTTGTGTTTTGTTTTTAACCCAAATGGGCAAAGGGGTACTTTTAGCCACTAACAACCATCCCCCCCATATCATCGTCCATCACCAACGCTTTACTGTAGACATTGCCCAGCCCCGTTTCACAGTTTTTACATACTTGAAGGTGGCAACTTTGGTAATTACTGACTCCAGGCCTGTTTCGTGGCTTTCCTACAAAAAACAAAAACAAGTTATTAACATATTAGTGACAGCTCTTCCATACTGAATAGACAAGATTCATTTTATCATTGAAAGCTGTGGTGTTAATCGTACATTCTCTGGGAGGCCTTTGACCAAGCTACTATGAGCCATGGGCTCAATGCACAGCAGGTGGATCACCTCCCTCATGGTCACGTCCTCTCTGGTCACCTGACTGAGCCCAGGGACATAGCGTTCACCTGGACATACAGCATTGATCAGATGCGACAATATCATTCATATTCAGCTGACTGAATTTTGAGGAGTAGAATATACGACTGTACCGGTGATGACGATCAGGAGGTACAGCATCTCTTCTGTTAAGCGGTTCCACTGTATTAATTCATCCTATATTTTTAGTTGTATTTCATTAATAAGCAGAGCACTTGGTTGCACAACTGTTTTCTTGGGTGATTATTGGAGGCTTACCTGGTCTGTGCTTGAACAACTTCCATTAAAGTAATCAAAGAGCTCGAATCTCAACAAGATCAGCATGAGGAAGTGATTGGGGTCCATTTTGGAAGCAGCTATCTGAAAAGCAAACAAACATCATTTGTCACCACACTGTAAATACAAAAGAGCCCTGACTCAACGAGGAAAAAAAAATGTTGTCTGACTGCCACCAACCTGGAGCATGAGAATGTCTTTATCGTACATCTCGTCTCTGCATTTTACATCCTGATAGTAGTAGACCTGATCATACAAGTCAACCATGAATTTACTTGCAATTTATTAATGGAAGAAATACACACAGAGCATTCAGCTTAAAAACAATGCTTTGGATATCCAAAGAACGAAGCATACCTGGCTGACTAATGACAGCCCGTTTCTACGCCACATTTCGGCTGAGACCTGTGCAGCCAGCACCACAGAGCGCAGAGGACACTCGGCCAGCTGGATGTAGTCAAGACTATCCTGCAACAGACCGAAAAAAATATTATTCTCTGATACCAGACTATTCAGTCAATACACACTAACTGCTTGCTAACTCACCAACAGCAGCAGCCTACTGAACAAGTACTTTCATAATTTTTGTCATGTTACTTACAGCATTATCCAGATGTTCAAATGCCCCTGTTTTGCACAGAAGTACATACAGGCCTAGGGATCAAAATGCACCAATTGTAAGGTCACAGTATACAAATAAAACACCACTAAATAACTGGTAATCTCGATAGTAGTTCTCATACCAGCCAGTAGCCTGGAGATGGGCAGGTGAATGCTGACAGGCTCCTGAGACACTTTGTATGGACGAACATGGAGGATGTGCTTACACATGTAGTAGTCAGTGGCCTCCCTATGGAAGGGCTGGTTATTGCATTGCATCAAGACTTTGTGGCACTCTTTAAATGCAAGAAGCAAGATCTCATCCTGAGGGGGCAGAAACAGGCAACGACTGAGCACAGCACCATGTGGCTCTTATAGTTACAATCTTTCTAGCTGTGGCGCAACTTTATGGTTCAATGACAAATTCATTCAACGACAACTCACATCAGAGGAACACCAGTCCTGAAACATAGCAAGAATGTGACGGAGCTGCATCTGAAGAGAAAAGCCAGCTTCCCATTCTGGCTCTACCACAATGTGTTGACCAAACTGCCGCTTCACCTCCTCCATACCCTGATGAGGAAAGTGAAAGAAGACCAAGGTTCATTAAATATCAGGTCTGACAAGCTACCACAACCTGATGTGATAGTACTGCTATTACATGGTATCAAAGGACAAATCAAGGTTGAAAGAATATGAGACCATTTTTTACCTGCATACATTTGAGAAACCCAAGAAAGACTTTTAACCCCTCTAGGAACTGTCTCCGCAGCTCATCAGTCCATATTGAGGGTTTACTGATTAGAATATACCTGCCAGAGACACAGTTACATCTTAGATAACACCAAAAGCAGACAACAAAACCAGGAGAAGAGATTTTGTTAAATTTGTTTATTGCTTGATCACCTGAGGTCATGGAAGATGACCTGGATGCGTGGGAACTTGTCTGTGTTGTAGCCCAGGAAGAAGAACTGGTTGCTCTCATTCAGATGTTCACCAATTAAATCCATGACTGTATCAACTATCACCTTAATGACATTACACTCCTCGATCAGCTGCCTGGCCTAAGTGAAGACCAGAAATATGAAAGTAGAGATGTTAAGTTAATGCTGTTTTTATGAATAAGTACAAATATTAATGAAACTATATACGGTAGGGATGTAATGATACAATATTACCACAATAAAAACTCCAAAATGCATTATCTATTATAATAAAAAATGTAGAAAAAGAAAAATGGCCTTTATACAAAAAAAGTTGTTTTTTTTTAGTAATGTATAAAGTTAATGCAGCACTCAGTAGCAGTCCTTTTATGAGATAAAAGGAAATAATAAATTATTGTAGCAGCACTTGCAGTGAAACATTAGTGTTTGTTTACTTACACCACTATGACACAATATCTACACAGATGTTACTACAGACTAGACTCACCAGTGTGGGTACAGTGAAGATCTGCACAGAGAGAGCAGTGATGGATATACTCCTCTCATGATCATCATTGATAAAGTCCTTCTGCAGCTGCTTATAGTGCTGAAGAGACAAAACACAACATGTATTCATTTAAGCAAATGAAAGAACGGCCCAAAAAAATTTTAACATTCCACTTTTTTACCTTTGTAAACTCGACTGCAAACAGCCTCTTGAAGTCCGTCTCCATTAGCATGCTACACAAAATCAGTTCATGGATTACCTTGCGAGCTCCTTCAGAAATCAAGACAAAAAAAAAAAACGTTAGTCTCATTTTTTTTTATCAAGTTGAGATTGAACTACTCTGTATGATAATGAAGTTCAAGCTCAAATCTACTTGCCTTTGTACATCACAGCATCGTGCAACATGAGTCTGCTGATGAGGCAAAGGTGGTCCCTGTCTGTGTCTGGCTCTAGTGCCACCTGGCAGAAGGCCTGCCTGAAACCAGCTGCACAAGAAATAAGTAGGTTCCCAGTCAGATAGCATGAAACCGTACATGTATGACTGAGCATTAAGGTGTCAGTCAGTACATGTGGTGTGGTGTGTTGGACTCTGTAATATGGTAACAACGATGGCAGCACCTGAGTAACTGATGATCTTTTGGAACCAGGAGCCAAGGCGCAGAGCAAAGGTTTGATGAGCCATTACTGTTGTGTGAAGGATCTCCACACGTAGTGGCTGCTGAGAAATGTGTTGAGAGTTGGACTGCAACACAACAGTGAAAGAAAAGGTCACTGCGACATGCAAAACTGAACAATAATGTTCTGTGGTTCAAGAATATCATTCTGTGAAAACATTGTCTGAAACAGTGCAAAGTAATGGCTAAGATTTACCCTGATGAGATCGCGTGCTTGCTGGCATGAACGCAGCGTCCCTCTCTTTACTGCACGCCGACCCTGTGCGTCATTATTCAACATACAATAATTACACAATAGGTTCATCTGTAATTGGCATGATGTGCTTCCCTCTGATGTTGTTGTAATGTAAAGGTAAACAAATAAAAAACTACCTCCTTGTCAATAAGTGCTGTGTGTATCTGTGCTTCAGCCGGATCACAGTTAACAGAACGCTGCAGGGTGTAGATCACATGGTCGTACGAGTGGTGCTCATCATTGTACAGTACACAGTAGTATGCATTGTCTTTTCGTCTGCACGGATGGAGAAATACACCGTCTAAGTTAATCTGAGTGCTTTGTATGTGGATGTATGTATTTGCATGTGATCAGAGAGGCCATACTGGGGTTGGAGTTCAGCTGATAGCTCAAAGCTCTCCTCCCACACCAAGAAATCTGTGACGTAGCGCAGCAGTATCCGGAACAGTTTCTCAGCACGTTCATATAACTCGGGCTCCAAATCACACTCATCCTGCACAAAATGAGAGAATCAAACATGACTGACTTTCTGAGGAGGTGTCTTGTTCCAAAAATAGCACACATGAAATACTGTCCTCGACTTAGCTGAAACACTTTTGGTGACAACAAACTGTCAATTGCTAGTACATCTATAGTGAACCTGGAGTGATTTAGTAAATGTTTCTACAAGTAAAGTTTCTCAGAGTATTTTTATTAATACAATAATGTTCCAAGATGAGGGCAGAAACAAACATCTTTAACACAAATCTGCAATGATACAGAAAGTGAAGTCAATGTGACTGAGAAAACATTTGTTGTAATAACCTATACTAACCCCTGTTTCAACAGTAACTCTAATGTGACAAGGAACTGGTCTAAATATTTTGTCTAATAAAAGCTAAACAGGCATCCAGCCTGGTAACATTAATATCAAATCCCCTGAGAGCAAACATTCCACAGAGCAGCTAAATATTTCACACAAGTGTCTGACATTTAACACACAAACCAAACAAACGAATGAGTCTGCGTATTTACACGAGTCTCAACGTCATACCACTGTGTGAGAACGAGCACTGGAATCTATCAGAACCTTAACAACAAGAGGTCTCAAAGAGCAGGGTGGGTTTTCATGTTCAGTGTCACAGCTTGTTAAGCACAGGTTCAGATCCGGTGCAGAAAACATAAAGCAGCCTGCCAGACTGGGGCAGAAGCACCTGCTGTTTACGGAAAAAGGCACAGAGCCGTCAAGCTATACATCTGCTCAAAGCCCACGAGCTTGTCTGAAGAAAGCTAAAACACAGTAATCAGCAAACAAAAGGCCTGACAAACAACCAATCACCCCAGCAGTACTGTGGCAAGAGAAGCTGTAAACCAAATACATCTCTGCTCGGTTCAGGAGGATTTAAGCAATTGCAGGCGACTCTCAAACAGTCAACCCCAGCTGGTTTCCACCTGCTTATTTTCACAAATATCATCTTCTCTTTTCTCAATCTGTGCAGGTCTTCTTAGTTTCTGGAGCCAAAGCCACAATCAAGAGAGCAGCATAGAGGGCTAAGATGGGAAAATAAGCATTCTGGGGTTCACTGACAGAATGGGACAAGTACACCCCTCCCACATCCCTCTTTCCAATTATGTAACTCACCGTTACCATAGCAGCGGGTGCCCCCGGGTCATGTTTGGAGCAACAGGGGCCGATCTTCCAGGCTTCCACATCCCCGCAATCACAGAAGCCCCCGCCTGATGATGCGTGCATCTGCAGGGAAAAAATGGCACTTAGTGTGTGTCACTGAGGGTAAGTAATAGACACAGCAGCAATTACTATGCAACACTAGGAGTCCAACATTAAATACCACATGTAGGTCCTAAAATAATTGGGAATTAATTAATCATAAATGTTTGTATATCTAGAAATATGTTGTGTATGGGATCCAGGAGGCTAATCCAGTCAACACTATATGACACTGCGCACAGGATTGAATCAGAGACTAGTGGTTGGCAAGGGCAAGGTAATGGTGCTCCAGTATCTGTGAGATGTCATAGAGATGTCAAATCTCAAAGTACAAATCCAGTGATTAAAAGAAAAGGCTGGACATTGTACATATTGATGGTGCTTTCAGCAATCTCTATCTCCAGACTAAAACCAAAAAGGAATTGCCTCCAATCATGATTAATGTTTGTCAGTCTGTCAGTCCTGGATTAGCTTGTTCATCTGTGTGACAGACTTCCATTGCTGTTTATAAACGATTAAAAACACATCAGGAAAACACACCACTGCACTGGGTGACATGTTTTTTCATTACAAAACCCCAGGGCTAACTATGTTGCCCCAAAGTCATCTACTGAAGTCAGCTAAGATCTTGCCTGAGCTCTCAGCTTTGTTTACATTCAACCAGCTCCTCATGCTAGTGTCTAGTGTTTGCTAAGGAAGAAATATGTCACCCAGAGCAGCTGTGTGTTTCAGTGATGTGATTATAATCCTTCTGGAACAATAATGGTGGTTTATGGCAAGGATGAACAAGCTGGTCCAGGACTGACACACTGACAGACACTAACCGTGAGTAGAAGCAAATCATTGTTGCTTTTAATCTCTGTATTTAGGCTGCTAAAAATACTGTTAATATAGAAAATGACTGGCCTTATCCCTTAACCACGAAACCAGCGGACTGTGATTCAATAACGTAGTCAAGCAAAACAGATGAATCTGAATTTCTTTAAAAATGTATAAAAATATTCATATTGACACCAACCTTGTAACGATGGCTTTTGTGCACGCTATCCTGGAAGCAGTCCATGCACAGGACACAAGTGGGGTCTATTGCACAATCCCTGCAATAATTTGAAGATTTATATGGTGAGTGAGCAAACCATACTTTTTTTACCTCAATATAAAAATTCAGTGTACACTTGATAAGCACATGAACTTAATTCATGTGTTGTGATGATACTCATTCACCGTCTCTGGCTGCACATTGTATTTATTACAGTATCTCAGGATTTGTTTCAGACAACTGCAAACACGCACTTGTCTCTGTGCTAATTTTAATAGGTACATACATTGACAGTGCCCTATACCTACTGGCACACATTTTGATTATACATAACTGTGCATGGATATAACAGTACTATCTTAAAATACAACTCATGTTGACATAAAACTTTTAGGACAGCCTTGGGAAAGAAATTCAGAAAATCCACTGCAACAATTGTTGGGTATCTATGTGAGTGAGACATCATTCAGTGCCATTTGGGAACTGCCTCATGTTGAAGCCTGAGAGAGTTTACTCATGAAGTATTCATTTTTAACACTTAGTCCAAATACTCCCGTGTTGTTGCATAACTAGATCACTGCAGAACAAAAACCTACTGAGTTCAGACTGTTCAAACTAGTAATACGTGATGATGTTAAACTGTCTCCATGATATATTCATGGCTTTGAGCTATACAAACATTTTTATATCTCTTTTTCATGCCAAAACAATCATTTTGGATGCCCCATAGTGCTTGATATTTGTTACCTAGTCCTCAAATTAACTAGTAAGGGCTAACTAAAACTTAATATTTCACCACAGCTACTATAAGTACTGCTGTAGTAATTTATTTTTACGGAGTTTCAAAGGTCTTCTCACACCTGCAGGAGTATACAGTCTCTCCCTCTTTGAAGACACGTCCACAGAGCTGGGAGGAGGAGCACCCATGCTTGAGCTTCTCCAGACCCTCCTCGGGGTCTTCTCCAAACAGGAAACACTCCAGAGGATGGATGAGTCGGGTCTGCATGAGTTCCTCTTCCTCCTGAGGGCTGGACTCTTTTTTTAGGCAGAAGATCTGCGGTACCTGCTCCTTCAGGTAGCGAAGCACCTCCGCCTTGCCGTCTGCAGCCTCTAGCCATTCCTGCAGGAAAACAGGGAAGAGCATGACTGCAGTGACTCATAGCTGTCTCCACCTATACACACACAACTACTGGTCTTAGCCAGTATTCACACAGTGATGCAAAGATAATTATTTACCTTTAACAATGCAGCATGTTTACTAATCATTTAACATTTAAATTGAATTTTAAGAAGATTTAATACAATTTATTGCAGAGTATACTATTGTGATGAAAGAAGAAATGTGATATCTTGTGCTAATAACAGTGTTATGCTACCACAATGCTTTTATGTTGTTTTGTCTTTAAAAAACCTGCAGTGGGAAAACATAATGAAAAGCATAATATGCACATATTAATTTCTGCTTGTGAACCAGTCAGTTACTTGTGTAACAACTGAATTTTTTATTTTAATGTTTAATCCCATTTATTGGTCAAGTATGTTTAACACACACAAGGAATTGTCTCCAGTACAGAGGCTCTCCACTAGAGACAAAACTAAATAATTACTAATGTTGGTTGCATCTATATATTACGTGGAGGCTCAAATTACGCTAGATGTCAAATCATTTTTATATTTTTAATTGCCGATTCAAAGTTTAATAGGCCACATCTCCTACAAACAGTCGGCATACAAAGGCATTTGCGTCTAACGTCAAGTGAATTTCCCTGCTACTGTCAGACTGTATAATGAAAGTAAATAAGTCCGTTTCATTTTCACTATGGCTCATGACTGACACGATGCTACAAGAGTCCGAAAATTTAAGGAAGCATAATATGCAAAATTTCATGTTGACGCGCTTTAGACAAAAGCGACCACTACGGTTCCGCAGCACGAAACTATAAGGTCCTAAGAACACTGTCATGTGCCCCCGGCGACTGTGTAATCTAAGTTATTTCGGTAAATCCAAACCCATTAACATGCACTCAGAGCTGGTGAGCAGTAAACACTGTGGTAGCTGCAGAGACATTTTAACCATTTAGGGAGCTGGCAGCTAGCACAGGAGATAACCACGACTGCTAGCTTGATGAGCACATCCTTTCACTGCGTGGACAAAACATATTGAACACAAGAACAAACACAATTTACTTCAGAGTTTAGTGTCTCGATTTCAGTAACCAGTGTCAGCCGTATTAGATGTCTGAGAATCATACCTTGCTGAGCTCAAGTCCGTCAACAGATTTCTTACCCTCCGCCATATTCCATTTGCCGTAAATGAGGAGATGTCGCTAGGAGACTATGTCCCCATCAACCATTTGCGACGCTATTAAATCATAAATAAAGCAATAAAACATAATTAGGTGTGCTCAATTTTTCAAAAAATGACTATTACTTAAAAGTTTAAGGATTTTCCATTTGTAGCATTCCTCTGATTAAAAAAAACATTTTAGAAACAAAAGAAAAGAAATGTTTGCCTAAGTCCCCCTCTGGTGGTAGACCATTTTTACTGTTTGTTTTGTCAAATACTGCTCTTTTACGGACACCATTCAAATGATAGCGACACTCTATTGATCATTGTGCTTATATATAATAACTTATTTGTTCTGTGTGCCAAAAGCAGCCGATGGGTTTAATGATAACGCTAGTATGTGTTTATAAATCTCAATGGAGATTTGAATGGAAGTGCTGGAGGGACCCAGCCACTAGAGGGCGCCAGCCAAGATTGTCCCTCCTCTATGTGCATGGTGACAACGGTGACGAATGCAGCGGGGTTAGAGGTCAGAGTTGAATGTTTGACAGACACCTGAATATGGATTCCATATTTCATGAGAAAGTAGGTTAAAACGTGCAACTTTAAATATTTAGCCACAAGGAATTTGTCGTGTTTAGTCAGGAAGCCTTGCACCGTATGGCTGTGATTTGTTTACCGACGCTATCTGACCGGTGTTAATAGATTTGTCGTGGTGTTTGACAGTATTGTTGTCCAGATAGCTAAAATGCTAAGTGCATCTGCTAGTCAGAAATTATATGAAGTGTCTTTGCAGCTAGGAGTAACGTTAACAACACAGAATGCTCTGTAACAGCTACAGACATGTTGTTTTTGGCAAGATAGTAAACGAACTGGCTTTTTCATAGCTATCTGGTCTTTTAAATAAGTAATAACTCTAGTTGTGGTTGTTGTTTACGTAAGATAGCTGTACATAGCTATGTATGACTGCTGTCGTGGGGAGAGACCAAATCTTTAAGGTTTTAGCATTAGTCAAATTCCATAAAGTGCATAACGCTGATTAAGTTGTCAGGAAACCTATTGAATTCTACTCTTAGATATGCCGTTTGCCCAGGTGGCGTCTTAACAATGACTAATCCTTTATTTGTAGCAAGAAGGCTCTCTGTGCGCCCAGCACTGCCTCAACAACCTCCTTCAGGGTGAGTATTTCACTCCTGTAGATCTGTCCTCCATTGCTCATCAGCTTGATGAAGAGGAGCGGATGAGGATGGCTGAGGGAGGCATGGCCAGTGAGGAGTACAGGACCTTTTTACAGGTGATGAAGCACTGAAAGTGAATATTGGTGTATTTATTTATATGCTGTTACAAACTAAATGTATGTTCTGTGAATGTGTTTTTAGCAACCATCGGGGAACATGGATGACAGTGGGTTCTTTTCTATACAAGTGAGTTTGGGAAAGCCAGCATTTATTGTTACTTAATCACAAATCAATAAACATTGTTAACTCTGTATTACTAATTTTAATTTCTGCCATGTAATTCCTCTAGGTTATTAGCAATGCTTTGAGCGTGTGGGGCTTGGAGCTAATGCTCTTCAACAGCCGGGAGTATCAGAGTCTGATGATAAATCCAATGTAAAGTTTCTTTGGCAAAACTATGTTGTGAAACTTCTTTACTTTCATTCACATTAAGACTTTACAGTTTAAGTTGGTGATGACATTTATTTCTACTTTTGTATTTCAGAAATGAGAAAGCATTCATTTGCAACTACAAGGAGCACTGGTTTACTATACGCAAACTTGGACAACAGGTATGAAGTACATGTCTTCATAAACAATTTGAATCCAGCCTGATAACTAAAAACAATGTTTTGTTTTCATTGCAGTGGTTTAACCTGAATTCACTGCTGACTGGACCAGAGTTGATATCAGACACCTATCTGGCCCTTTTCCTTGCACAGTTACAACAAGAAGGTATAATAAAATTGACTTAAATTACTTTTATTTACGTTATGCTTAGATGTGAGGATGCATTAAAGATAATAAAAGTTGTATTTGGGCAGGTTATTCCATATTTGTTATTAGAGGGAACCTCCCAGAGTGCGAAGCAGAACAAATTCTTAGGATAATGAGGGTGCAGCAGCAGCAGCGGCCCAGGCTCATTGGAGAGGATGAGGCACAGACAAGTGCAGGGTATGCATTCTGTGTGAAGACTCAACAATAGGAAGCAGCCATACTTGTGACAACTGATTAAGTTATGTACTGTGAGTAGCAGGTCAGCAGCTCTTACTCAGACAGAGATGGGCTTTGGTGTGGAGGATGAGGTTGTGGATGAAGATGAAGAGCTGAAGAGGGCCCTGGCACTTAGCAGACAGGACATCGATGTGGAAGATGAAGAGGCTGATCTTCGCAGGGCCATACAGCTCAGCATGCAAGGTAAATAATGAGCCATTCATTGGTTTTAAAATTTCTGTAATTTTATCCAGAGTAACTGTTATATTAATGAGGCATTTCCAAATAAGCCAGTTAGCCTGCTGCCTTATTTGCATGAAAGTATTTTCCAGTTGCATCTGTTTTGAAAACTGTTTTTAGGAACAGTGATGAGCAACAAATTTTTAGAGTCTGAAGTGGGAAATGTCAGATCAGGGAGCCAGGAAGCAGGGAGCACAGGAGGACAGAAGGAGATGCTCACAGCTGAGGAACTGCGGAAGAGGAGGCAAGCTTACTTTGATCGGTACGTTCAGCTTCATGTCTGCTAACTTAGTATACAGGGATTGGACACAGTATTGTAAACACTTATAAGCAATCCAGCTTCGTAGTCCTGCAATAATTACATTTATGGTGTAAATATGCCTCTATTAAACATTTTTATGGTTGTATTTTAAGGACATAGTTTATGTTGATGATATATTTATGTTAGAGCTGTTTAAAGTATACATGGTATCGCGTTCACCCACTGTAAGTGTGTGGAAAATCAATGCAAGGATTTTGTTACAAATCCTCTCTGTTGACTATTCAGGCAGCCACAGGCTCAGCCAAACATTCCCCAAGAAGCAGGAACAAAATCAACATGTGGCTCAGGTGAGCACATTTGTTTCTTAATATAAATATAATTCAGCTAATTAAATGAATTAATTCATATTAAAAAGCTTATCAAAAATGACATAAAAGATGCTAATTTGTACTTCCTTCCTTTAGGATCAGAAAACACTGGCTTTGAGGAGGACCAACAACAACAGCCCAGCCAGTGAAGTTGTGAAAGGTTTGCATATGTTTACCAGCTGCCTGGATTGGCAAACCCCTTACAGGGGTTAGCTTTGCTCCTTCCTCTAATCTTTTGCACTTGCGAACCTAAGGACAGTCAGAAGGCTGACACATTTCCCGTGGCTAGTTCGCTGACAAGTTATAGAGAAGAGAACAATGGCAGCAGTTAGTCTAATCTAACTCAGTGTGTGACTGAGGCTGGGAATAGGGTGACCACAGCAACCACGACACCGTCAATTCAATTTTGCAATTGCCTTTGTACCATGGCGCCTTCTATTTCTATTGTGTACTGTTTTTTATTCTTATTTTTCCCCTGGAAGAGAAGGAAAAGATTCTTCAGCATACAGATGGTGTGTTTACTTGTCTGGGGGTGAAAACGTCCACAAACAGGTGGTCTGTGAAAGCTATAGGAGACCAATATTTAGACCACAGACAAAAGCTTCATAATGACAGAACCTCTGTAATGGACTTGGGTTTGTAGGACATATGATGTGATTTCCATGCCCACCCCACTAGAAACACCACCGTGGTTGTAAAATAATTTCTTGTTGCAGTGTACTGGAATATCTTTCAGCCAGCAGCTCTAATGTGTGAGGGTCATTTATTCCTAACATCATGAATTCAGTTCATTCAGTTTGTGAATGTCTAAGAGTGAACTCCCACAATATTTAGACAACAACATATTTTTGATGTTGTGGCTTTGTTATTACCTTCTAAGTGTATTAAGTTGCCGTAATGAAATTTAAGATTACACAGCTCACAACCATGTCATTTAAGGATGTTGTGTCCATTTTGGATGAACAATGAACAGAATAATTATATAGAGCTAACTGCTGAATTTAACATAGTTTTCACTGATGCATATTTTTTAGCTTGTTCAGAATAAGGTGACGTGTAACGGGGATCAACAAAGCAGTCTGTAAACACCGTGATCTACAGCTGATACACAAATACATCTTTCATTTTCCAACAGTTATGGTCGCTTAAAACCAAAAAGAGTCATGACGTGTCCAACCAGCCTACTTTGTATATGACTTCCTCTGTTGTTTCTCTTCACCAGTATTTGTCATCAACAGTATATAGAATTTGTTATAAGGATAAGACAATTAAAATGGTAGTTCCTCCCTTGATGCCCCTCTACAAACAAACATTTTTACACTTATGTGTTACCGCCTTGTCATCATTTTTACACTTATGTGTTACCGCCTTTGAAATACACTAGTTTAATTGCATTGATTTAAGTTATCCTGTATTCCAATAATACTTAGAGCAATGATGAGCATTAGTTGTACAAACATTTATTTGCACTGAGGTTGCCATGTGTTAAAGCTATTGAAGGGACTGGCTGATTGATGACCTTCTGAAATAACAGTAAAATAGGAAGACTTAAGGGTGAATGTTTTTTTTAACTCATGTATTATTCAAACTCCAAAGAAAGAAAGAAAACATCACAAATGTGTCACCGTGCATCTACTTGGAAGTGTTTTTGCATTCAGTTCTGACCATGACTTGTTTAAAATCTCTTAATTTTTCTCGACCAACTTCCTGAAAACCAAAATCTGGTTGCAACACACAATGTTTATGAATAGACCGCATTGCAGCATTAAAACTGTTAAATTTGTTTTTGCGTTGTGTTTAACCAGTGGCTGTATGTTGATTCCTCCACAACTATGTATTGACTGTCATGTTAAAGTGACAACGACATCTTGTGCCGGATGACTTCCAGGATTTTATTATAATTTTTCTTTAGATCTGTCTTTTCTTCTTTTTTTCAACTTAAAATGCACTCTTGAAAGAGTATAAAAGAGTTAGTAGTTGGGTTTTTGTCATTGTTTTCACTCACTGCATTCTTACAATAAGTACTAATTCAAAATTTATTTCCACTACAGCACATTCTTTCATTTAATGTATTTAATGTATTAGTTTTTGTTCCAGTATTAAAGACACATTCTCCTAAAGTTTGTTGTTGCTCATTTATTTCTTGTAATCTTGATGTTAATGTGTAGTTATTGATGGTCTTGTGACATCGTGTCGGGAAGAGAGACCCTGAATGTTTAAAAAAACAGCTCTGACTCCATTTGGATCAATACAACAGGCGGCATGTTGTGGTTAATATGTAACGCTCAAAGCCCACTTGCACTTTGCTTCCCCAAATAATAGGTGGATCTTTCAGACATAACATTGCTCAAGCCGAAAGGTACGTATGATAGTTACATTGGGGGGAAATGTGTTATTTTAATAACTATTACATTTTCAATTTGAGTTTTATTGCAGCGGTTTTGTGTTTATATGTGGTGAAATTAAGTTATTCAAGTTAATTTTTGTTAAACATTGTTTTGTTGTGCTTTTTTTTAAACATATTTCAATGTTGTGTATCAGGTTGTGCACCCAAAAAAATCATGGTGGTACACAAAAGGAAGATGGGATTTATTTTTGCCCTTTACGTCATGTACGTCCTCACTCCGGTGCACCAAGCAGAACTTCCAAACGCCACCATTTCAGATCTTTCCTTCAAAAATATGGAGTTTGCCATGAAGCTTTACACAAAAATATCCAGTTACCATGACAAAAACATCTTTTTCTCACCTATGAGTATCTCTACCAGTTTTGCTGCTCTCCTAATGGCTTCTGATGGTGTCACACATGAGGAATTACTCAAGGGACTCAAGCTGGAGGAGCTGGAGAAGGCTGACCAGCCAGAGCTTATCCCAAATCTATTTCAATTACTCCATGACAACATTACACAGAATGGATCACTAAACCTGAACCAAGGCATGGCCATGTTTATGCACCGGCAGTTTGAGGTAAAGAAGAAATTTGAAGACCAAATGAAGAAGTTTTTTCATGCTGACATCAAAACTGTAGACTTTGCAGACACAAAAGAAAGTATGAGGGTCATCAATGAGTACATCAAGCACAAGACTGAGTATAAAGTGACAGAGGTGATTTCCTCCCTGGACCCCCTGACCCAGCTCATGATAATCACCACAATTTTCTTCCAGGGTAGGTTGTGTATATCAGAACCCCCCCTAGGGTTGTTAATTACCCCCAGTTGTTTACTGACATCTGACCTGCAACCTATATAATTAAATATGTCCTCCATAGGAGCCTGGCAGAGGCCTTTCAACCCCAATGTCACTGAAAGAGCATCCTTCTTCATTGATAACTATAACATCGTTCAAGTGCCAATGATGCTTCAAGAGGATAAGTTCTTCACGATGGAGGATGTTTCTCTTGGAGTCAAAGTGCTTAAGCTACCATATGAGAAGGGTGTTTCCATGCTCATCGCGCTGCCCAATAGAGGCATAGACTACACTGTAATTGACGATGAGATCACAGCTGAGAGGTTCCTCAGCTGGGTCAAAAAGCTGCAAAAAGAGTAAGTGCTTAAGAATGTGTTATGTGGAAAAACATAACATTCCACCAGATGCTGTAAGGCATGTCTTTTTTAGCTTTTTTGAAATAATCCTTATACTGTTGTATTGTAGCTATTATTGTGAAGCACTTCCTCTCTACAAATGTGCTGCGAAAAGTATCTAGCAACAAAAGTGCAAATCATTCTATATTATACCTTACATAATATTGAATACTTGTAATCTGTTTGGCTATACCTCATTCATAGGAAACTGGAAGTCAGCATGCCTAAATTCAAGATGGAGCAGTCGTATTCCCTGCATCATATTCTACCAGATATGGGCATGGTCAGTATCTTCGGTACTTCAGCCAATTTGACAAAGCTGAGTAAAGACGAGTTCATCAAGGTGTCAGAGGTTAGTTTTCAATCTCACCATACTGTAACAATATACTTGCATATTCCAGACTGCGGATGATTACCTTTATCTCTACTGTTAATTACCAGGTGCTGCACAAGGCTGTGATTGAGGTGGATGAGATGGGGACCACCGCGGCGGCTGTCACAACCACTGGGATTATTCCGTACTCCTTACCCAGGACCTTTATCATCAACAAACCATTTTTCTTCTTCATATACCATGAGGATACAAATTGTCTGTTGTTCATGGGCAGGGTCATTGACCCCACCAACAACTAGCGGTATTAACGTCACTGTACCGCACATGACATTGTGTTTATTAGGTTTTTTTAAAAATGAAAAAAGATAATTTCATGTAATTTTTGGTTTGAGATGCTTCTTATGGTCTGTTCTGTAAACACCTACCTATATGTGACTCCTATAAATAAAGACTTTACACTTATGTGCCCTTCTATGGGATTCAATAATAACTTCTCTGTCCTAAATGCTCTAATATTAATGTGTGTAAAGCTTATACTAAATGAGAACAGGATTCAGAAAATAAATGATAACCACAATATTTAGTAATTTTCCATAAAATAAATGAATGAACAAATTAATTTTGTATTTTCAGTTATTGGTACCACTTTCTAATAAGACATATTTGGGTTGCTAGGCTCTGGAAAAAAATTCTGCCTAGTATACACTGCCAGCTGGGCACTGGATTATATCACTTCTACTGACAAAGTATTGTAAATATTTCTTAATAGGGATTCATAATGGCATGCGGATGCCTTACAAACCTTTGCTGCTGGCTTAATAAAAATTAAGACGCTCAAAACCCTTTTTGCAATAACTTTATTAACATGTATATCTGCAGATATTAACAGTTAACAGCAGACTTGAGAGTTTATTAGAAAGTGAGAAATGTTTGCTAATAGAACAACTCAGGGGTTTTCAGAAATACTTAGAAATGTTTACAAACCCTCGACAAAGGGGAATATATAAGACAATGGTTGTAGTACGTCTTCTAAATTTTAAGACTTTGTTCTTGTGCAACAAATAAAGTTTTTCGAACCACGTGACCGGCACTGTCATGGCTGCGCCCTTGTTTAATGCGTGTTAGTCATGAGCTGTAACGTAATACATCCGTGGTTGTAATAGCATTTTAACATTTCAAGAAGCCAGAGTAAGTCAGTTTTGGATGTTTGTTTCCACTGTTACTACTTATACTTGTATACTTCTATAAATGACTACTTATACTTGTATACTTCTATAAATGTTGCGACGCCAACTGGTTCTGAAATTTTTACGAGTAGCGTTTTATATTTGGACCCTGTCCGCACGCTGTTTGTATCTAACTTGAGGAAAATTTGAAGTATAGGTACTTTTAACAACTCATTGTGAAGCATTTCAACCCGGATAATTTACGTGTTTGTAGGAAAATGAAGACGAAGGATATGAAGCTAAAAAACAAGCATCGGTCCTCCGGGCCAGCCAAACGGGGCATCCATGTGAAAGGCAAATGGAAAGCTATAGAGCTCGATCCCAGTATCTTCTCTGAGGAGGGCATGGAGGGTCTGGTGTGTTTTGAAGAGCTGACAAATTACCGTCTGATAGACCCTGAAAAGGCTGCGGCCAAAGCAGCAAAAGAACAGAAAAAGGAGAAGAAGAAAAAAGCAATGAAAAGAAAAGCCAGTGAGGGAGAGGAGGATGAAGAGAAGGTCGGTGTGGAGGGGAAAGAGAGAGCGAAAACAACTGAACCAGCCAAGAAAAAAACCAAAAAGAATAAGAAAAATAAGAAACTGACTGCAACAGAATCAGTTCAACAAGACAACACTTCTGCGGAAGAAACACAGAAGGATGGAGGTAACAATGAGGATGGACAGGGACATGAAACAGAAGATTCTTCAAAAGATTCAGCTACTGGCTCCAAACATCATGTCCAATCAAAAAATACTAAGAAGAGCAACAAAAATAAGAAAAAGAAACATAAAGGGCAAAAAGAAAAGAATGCAGAGAGCTCAGAGAAACCGCAAGACCCTGAGCTTTCATTACAGCTGCAGGTTCTGGAAAAAGAAGAAACTCCTCAAGACAAAGTGACAAAGCCACCTAAAAAGCAGGCAAACAGTTGGACTAATAGAGCACTTTCTGGTTCTGATGGCAAAATCATTGATGTGAGTGCATGGAAGGACCTGTTTGTCCCCTCCACTGTTCTGAAGGCACTGAGCAGCCTTGGATTTGGTTCACCCACACCGATTCAAGCCCTGGCATTACCTTCAGCCATCAGAGATCGTATGGATATACTGGGGGCAGCTGAGACAGGTAAGATAACATTATCGTCACTCTTTCAAATTATTGTCCAAGTTTTTGTCTTGGACTTTTTCCAAGCGATGCTAATGTGAGCACTGTCATTACAGGAAGTGGTAAGACACTGGCTTTTGGGATTCCCATGATCCACACCATCCTGGAGTGGAAGAAGGGCTCTGGAAAACCTGTTGATGACAATACTGAAGCAACCACAAAAGTGGAGAGTTTGTATTTACCAGCTCTAGATTCTACACAGTCAAGAGCCACAGCAGAAGAGGACCAGGAGGACAACATGAAAACTGAGGATGAAGGCATCAAAGATCAGGGTCAGTGTCACTCGGATGAAGGTGCCAGCGAGGATGATGAGCACAGCACTGAAAAGGCGATTGAGGATGAAAGGCTTGGATGTGTTCGAGTAATTGAAAATGCAGAGTTTGATGCTGACCTCGCTGCTGAAGCAGAAGAAAAACTTGCTGGTGGTGAGAGTCAGCCTTTGCTCGGACTCGTTCTCACTCCCACCAGGGAGCTGGCTGTTCAGGTCAAACACCATATTGATGCTGTCGCAAAGTTCACAGGTAAGTTGTTATTAGTCAAAGTGTTTTGCCTAGTTTAATGAACGTCAAGACACTTAAGATGCTGCTGTTGTGCAGGTATCAAAACAGCCATAGTGGTAGGTGGAATGGCCCAGCAGAAACAGAGGAGGATGCTAAAGCGCAGACCAGAGATCATTATTGCCACTCCAGGACGACTGTGGGACTTGATAAAGGAGAGGCATCCACATCTACTGAACCTCAGACAGCTCAAGTGAGTTACAGTTTACACCTTTTTCTCCTAGTACTGGGTAATGTGGTTAAAATTAAAGAGACTATTTCACAGACATCACATTATATCATAACGTGGTAGTCATGCATACAAAATAACACTTAAAATGATTCAATTCAGTACAATTAAACATGTTCATTGTTATGCATTACATTGGACAAACGTGTGAACATCTGCACACATATGGAACATTTACAGTAAAAGAAAAAATCTGGTGGTTTACTTAGTATCAATACCACAGGGAAAAAATACTCTGTTACAAGTAAAAGTCTTTCATTTAAAATGTAACTTAAATAAAAGTACAAAAGTATTAGCATAATAAATACTTCTTAAAGTATCAAAAGTACTCATTATGCCGAATGCATTGATGTATATCATAATATTCAATTATAATTATTGATATATTGTGTAATGGTGCAGCTGGTAAAGGTGGAGCTATGTTTATATACTTCTCATTTGAATTACTGCTGGGTAGCTTGTCAATTTTACACCAAGGATCAGTCAATCTTAGGACTATACTGTATTTAGTTTTATCAATCTCATTCAGAAAATTAACTAATAACTAAAGTAATCAAATAAATGTAGTGTAGTCATTTTCAAACAAAAGACCAGCAGCTGCAGCAAAGTGTTTCCTGAGAGCTAAACAGACGCTAGAGGTGATGACTTTGATTTTATTGACTGTGGCTGTCTTCCAGGATTTAGTCAGGTCTGAACAGGAACCTATAGCTTCAGTAGTGTCCTGACTTGGCATCTCTGAATGCAGCTCAGCATTTGTTTCTTGCTCACTTTAATGCTGAGCAGTGGGTTGGACCCCCTGTGTATCTTGCAGTGGTTTTGGCAGTGTTCATCTTCTTAAAGAATACAGAGTAATCCATAGGTACAGTGTATGTTTTATTAGAAATTGGCCAAGGCTATAGCAGCATCATGGATATCAGAAATATGATGATACAGATCCTTCCCCGTGGCTTGTTCGTTGCATTTTCATGTTTCATTAACTACACTTGGCTGTGTCGTTGTGCAGATGCCTGGTCATCGATGAAGCCGACCGCATGGTAGAAAGAGGCCACTTTGCAGAGCTGGAGAGTCTGCTGGAGATGCTGAACACTGTACACTTCAATCCCTCGAGGCAAACATTCGTGTTCTCTGCCACACTGACTATGGCTCACAGCCTGCCCACCCGCCTCCTGCAGAAGAAGAAGAAGAATCTGGACCAGAGAAACAAGCTGGAAATTCTCATGGAGAAAGTGGGGATTAAATCCAAACCCAAAATCATTGACCTTACCAGGAAAGAGGCAACAGTGGAGACACTGACCGAGACACGGATCCACTGTCAGAAAGAGGAGAAAGACTTCTACCTGTACTACTTTTTGCTCCAGCATCCTGGGCGCACCATGGTGTTCGCCAACAGCATAGACTGTATCAAGAGACTAAACTCGTTGTTGGTTATCTTGGAGCGTACACCACTGCCTCTGCATGCCAACATGCACCAGAAACAACGCCTCAAGAACCTGGAAAGGTTTGCTGAAAGGGAGAGGTGAGTCTTGCACACAGCTGCATAAGCATTCTGGGGGTGTTTGCCTTAGGCCTTAGGTTGACCTTATCCAGTGATGGTGTGCCTGTTACAAAATATAAAATCTGTGAACTGCAACTAAGGGCTTATGGGTTTAACTGATAGGTATAAAAGGCCTTAGTAGTTCCACCTTTGAGTTTGCTAATTAATACAAATGTACAGCATATGTTCAAAAATTAACAAATTTGTGGGAGTGGCATTCAGTCATGTCTACACGTGTGTTGTGCTTCTCTCTTGAAAGAAGGCAGCTGTTAAAATTTTTTAAATCAGTTGTAATATTGTCATTCTCATATAAAGTGATATCCACACCTTTATTCTGTAACAGCATTTACTAAAAAACAGCTCAGGGTTTGGTATCTCTTTAAAGGTATTTTATTTAGAACAGTAAAAACATGTTGTGAAATATCTCCATCTCGTATGTTGAGCTCCACCACTGACTTGACGCTTACTGAACTGCCACGTTCAAACATTTCAAACCTGCATTCACAGCTGTGTTCTGCTGACTACTGATGTGGCAGCAAGAGGACTGGATATCCCTGATGTTCAGTATGTTATTCACTACCAGGTAAATTTGTGGATGGTTTTCTTGTGTATTCTGTTTTATTCCTAGCACTTTGCTTACCATTCAGTTACCTGTATTCACTGCAGATGCACTGTAAAATAGCCAGTAGCTAAATCTGGTACAATAGATCAAAGATCTTTGCATGATTTTTTTTTTTTTTTAACAAGGTCCCCAACAAATAAATATAGTAAACTAAGCTAAAGCACATCTGTGTTGTCCAACATAAATGGGATGTTAACAACTAAAGTAACACTAACCACCATACAACACCTGAACCATAGTGCAGGGCATGTTTTATCTGTCACACTGAATTTTAGTTACCATCTGACAGCAAAATTAGAATAAAATGATTCTTGTTTCAAGAGTGCTACTTAAAGAAGTGATTTTTTTTTTTTATTGTCTTAAAATTGAAGAATGGAAAAAAATACTGTACATATATTCTGATTAACTGCAATAGTGTAATAGAAGCCGTTTTACTGTAACAGAATCCTGATTAATTATTTCTAATAATGTTCTCCTGTGAACGTCAGGTACCCAGGTCATCCGAGACTTACGTCCATCGGAGTGGGAGAACAGCAAGAGCCACTAAAGAGGGTCTCAGTCTGCTAATAATAGGCCCAGACGACATGGTGAACTTCAAGAAGATTTACAAGACTCTTGGAAAGGATGAGGAGCTTCCCATGTTCCCCATAGAGACCAAATGCATGGAAGCAATTAAGGTGAGGTCCTGTCTTTATGTGACGCTCAGGAGATTATAACTGATTGTTTATTGTTGAGGGTCTTTTCACAGGAGCGGGTAAACTTGGCCAGGAAGATAGAAAAGATTGAATTCCACAACAGCAGAGAAAAGCAGCACAACTCCTGGCTGAGACAAGCAGCGGAGGCCCTGGAGGTGGACCTAGATGATGATCTTTTACTTGGTAAGACCAACACAATAAAACTATAACAATAACAATGACAAAAAAATCTCTGGAACATGCTCCATCTATTGAAAAACTACAGGCAACTGAAGACACCGTCCTTGTATGTCCATAGGTGGAGCAAGAGATGAGGATGCTGACAGAGAGCAGCAGAAGATGGTTAAGGGGATGAAAAGGCATTTGAAGCATTTGATCTCCCAGCCTGTGTTCAGGAATATGATGAAGACAAAGTACCCCACTCAAATGGGAAAGCTCTCTCTGCCTCAGGCAGGGATGGATAGTGCTTTAGCCAGGCTTACAGCACAGCAGACGAAGTTAAAGAAAACCGTTCCGCCACAGAGGAAGAGACAGAAACCGAAGAAAGGAAAGCAGCAGCCTTAGTGACTTTTTAATGGAATGTGTCCTATAAAAGGCCATCTTTGATAAGGTTCGTGTAATGTCTGATTACATAAATGTAATTTTTAACATTCAATTCAAGTAAACACTTATTGCACAATGTGCAATTATATTTCCGGTTGTCTAACTGCTGTACACTGCAAGATTTTATAAAAATCTGTCTTCATAAGTGTCTTAAAGCGCAGTTGGCATTTTATTCAACCGAAGTCAGTACTCCTGAGATGAGCTCAGTCCTGGTGGACCACTGGTCAGCGCTGAGGTTACGGGTAGAGAATGTTGTAATGTGACGTTTTGTAGAGGAGGTGCAGGGAAGGTTCAGCACCCTCTGGAATGATGTGGTGAGCCAACTTCTCTTCATCACCCTCCATAGAGACTATGTGGATGCAAATATCCAGAGCCTGCGCCAGAGCTAAGATGTCCACATGATCACACTCCATCGCCATGGCCTCCACTTCCTGAGTGAAAGAGAATGTAGGTTTTATCCTAACTCAGTCTAATCTGTAAATAACCCAGACAGTAAAAGATGGTATAGGAATTTTTCACTGTGTCGCAGCAACACATTGTTACTAACCTGGTGACAGTAGGCATGCAGATCAGGTGACTCCACAAAATTGCAGAAGAAGTCTGCATGGTTTCGCAGATGTGCTGAAGTGAGCAGCCTGAGGTACTGCACCACACTGTCCGAGGTCTTGTGCTCATTGAAGAGCCTGAGCAGAGTGTTTTCCTGCTCATCGGTCTGACACCGCTCCACAACATCTACGAGCTTAAAGAGAACAAAACTTTACACTCACTGCCCACTTTATTAGGTAGGTACTGTGTAACTATGCAATTCAGTGCAACACTTGTGCCCTAACATCTGTGTAGCTCAGAATGTTCCAGTTTTTGGTAAATTGTCATAAATGTATAAATCCACTTATATGTTTATCAATGAGGTCATAGTCAAAGGTGGTGTTGTGCTGCACTACATTATATCCAGGGGTGTTCCTAATATTCTGACCCTGCCATGTATGTGGCTGGACACGTTATTTACTGTGCTCAGGTGGTGCTTGAAGAAACTCTCATCAAATCCAGCTGAGGACAAAACGTTGCCGCTCTGAATAATTTTGTCCTTGAATCTGAAACCAAAGGGAGAAGCCGCTCTAGGTTTTTATCATCAACCTTACATTTTGGCCGAATGGCAGTAATGATGACAACTGACCTCTGCAAGCTCCTAGCATTGTGTAGGACTGACTCCAAGTGAGCGAAGCAGACGGCTCTGTAGAAGCAGTTTCCATCCCCGCGCACTTGTCTCACGGAGGAAAACTGGCTGCTTAAATCCTAACAAAGGACAACAGGTCTGGTTATTTTAGGGCGGACTCGGTCAGTTAAGAGCGGTGACTATACCCACGCAGCCCACCCTGCTACTAAATAGCCTACTTTGTGTTTGGCTCCGGGCGTTTGTTCAGGGAACAGGGAGGAAATGTCCTCTCTGCACTCAACAATACTTCCAGCCTCCATCTGTCGACACCACACAGCAGATTAAAAGGTCGACTTCGTGCCTTCGTATTTCGACAACATGGAAACTATGTGAGAAAGCGTAATTACAGTTTGTCAAGACTCCGTGCATCAAAGCTGATTGTCAGAGCGATGTTGGAAGTGTATTTTCATTTTCTATAAACCGGATGTTTGCAGGTACCACGTGCTTGTGTTAAAGGAACAGTACAAGGTTTGGTTAATGCTCTGCTCGAGTCATTTTGTAACTGAAGATCTTGCGCTGATCTTTGACTGAGCTAACACAGGTTTTAGCAGCTTCTATTTTCAAACACCGACAGTTACCCTATTGTGAATTAATACTTAGTCCTGTGTCCACTTCTGTAAAGTCGACAGTATGTGGACAGTGGTGGAAGATGTAAGAAAACACAAGGATCTGTGACAAGTAGAATCTTGCATTCATAATTGTATTATTCACAGTAAGTAAAAGTACACAAGTATACCAACAGATTGCAGTAAATATAAAGTAAATGCAGACATATAAAGCAGCATAAAATGAAAATACTCTCCTGGACAATTTGCTCTGTGATGAAGGCCTGAAGATAAGTGGGTGAGACAGTCTACAGCTACAACAGATAAAGGGAGCTGCTGGTACCACAGAAAGTTTTCACTATAACCCACAGCTGAACAATAGAGATTATTAGTTCATTTTTAGAAATGCAAATGATTGATCAAATCATGCCCCCCGCCCCACATTACTTTGTTCAAATTCTAAATGAACCTAAAGCTCATTTTCTCACGGTGTCTACTGACTTTATGTTAACTTTTTATTTGTGTTTTACTGCCGATGCTTTTCACTGATCCTCTCCGTCTCATGTCTGTCAAAGCTGTTCTGCTTGTCATTGCAGAGCCTGATTCCATCAGTCTCCTTGCTCTTCTCTCTGTATCATCCTTGTCCAGAATGTATTCCTGAAATCATAATATTGGTTAATAAAAGTCAGATAAAGGCACATAAATGATATAGTGCAAATACTAATAAAAACAATTTTACCTTTACCATGTCCATCATTGTCAATATGTTGATGTTTTCCAGAGGTCCATATGCTGGTAGATAACACTGCTCTGCTAGGTTGTTGATGGCCATCAGCAATCTTCCCACTTCTTCCAACTGAGAGATAATGCACAAGTGACTATTTCTGTCTGAAACGTCCAGCCCATAATTTCCACCTGATAGGCTTAAAGGCATACCTTCTTTCTGGACAGGCCTTGCTCCATCAGCAAGTTATCCCCCACTTGTTTGTTCTTCTCTCTGAGGGTTTCTAACTCGCTCTGCAATTCAGACAGTTCTTTGTTGGCAATCTGCAACAAATGATAAAAATCACTAGCACGTGTTTCATTCAGGTACTGTCAGTTGAAGAAATGCTGCATTTGCATATCTAACCAGTTTTCTAATACTGTGCTCTTGTTTCATGGTCTGCAGATGTCGTTGACCCTGCTCCGCCTCCTCCTCCAGACGCCGCAAACGGTGCAGCAGCTCCTCGTTGGTAATGCACAAGGTCTCATGGCGCCGAATGATGGGCATAACCAAAGATTGAGACCCACTATCAAGGTAAGCTGAAAAAAATATGCAGTTTGGTCCTTCGTGTGTGATTAACTCATTAACATAAGCAAAACAGGTTCATGTAAATGTTTTTTTATAGGGGGCAATAAAAGGTTTGAACTTACTGCTGGGGAGATAATCTAGTGTCTTCATCAAGTAGTCTTCATACATTTTGTATTTTGCCATTCTCTCTTTTAAAACTTGCTGTCTGTGAATTAAGGTATAGCTGAGCTTTAAAAAGTGACTTAATGAGAGATATCCCCACATCAAGGTCTTGGTTTAAATTTCTCACCTAGCCCGGAGCTGCTTCAGCTGTTCCGTCAGATCTTCAATCTCTCTCTGCTTCAAAATGTTCTGCTCCCGAGCAGTCTCATACTTCTGCAATGCTTGGCGTCGCTTCACTTCATTTTCAGCCACAAACTTTTCAAATTTCACCACCCTCTCTTTAGTCTGTATGGAAACAAACAACAAAGGCAGCCATATTAACACAGTGTCATTTGGATATCAGGTATTTTTTTTCTACTCGGCCATTATTCTTTAATTCAAGCTGCTTTAGGAGCACAAATCGAAGCCATGATTCACCTCCTGTTGTTGTACTTCCAGTTCAGACCTTCTCTGAGCTAGAACTTCCACGTGGCTCTTAAACTCTTGCCGTTTGAGTGTGAGCTGCTTGTCCACCTTGTCCAACTCGGCCTGTTTCTTCAGTACCAGTGTCTTTTGCAAAGTGTTCACTCCTGCCTCAAGGACTCTGCTAGAGGTCTACACATAAAACATAACCATTCAAGTAGATAACCTAAATGCCTTTTATTATGCTGAAATAAGCCAGCTGACTTTACCTATATATAACTTTTTGAAACAGAGGTTACAATGCAGAAAGAGTGAGATAAAAAAGAGAGAGGACAATATATTAAAGAGCTAGATTTGGTGTATAAAGCAAAAGATAGAGAAAACAAATGGGCTTAGATCAGATCACAGGCAGCACAATATATTTCTGTATTTTTTCATGAATGCAGGTTGATAACATCATTTTACTGCATGCTTATCTTACCTCCGTTACAACAGGTATGTAGTTGACATTTTTCTCCTCTCTGAGTAGAAAACTGATTGTCAGTAACAATGCAAACCATTCAGTCAAAACATATACAGCATGAAGGGTCTTAAAGAGAGAGGAGGGTGGTGTGCTGGCCTACCTGGTGTTTTCCGAATGTGTTACAAAAATGTTTCTTTTCCTGTTTTCCACCTTAAGTTTGAGACGAGGATCTCTTTTATCTAGGAAGGGAAGGGAAGGTGTCGTCATGTCTTCGCAAATAAATTCTCCTAAGTCTTGCAGTTATTCCACGTTCAGGCGATCAGAAGGGCGATCAAGGTTCTATTCCGGATGTTTTCCTGGATTTGTGTAGTTGTTGCCTGGGAACCACCGACGGGGCAACGGTGAATTCGCCGAGATCGTTTCCCGGTTGTCATGGCAGCTGTCGAGGAGGCGGGTCTGTTTTATTGACCGAATGAGAGGCAAAGAAATTAGAGGTCCGAGAGGGGACGAAAATGAAGAGCGATCACTCCGCCCGAAATCCCCCGAACCACCGGAGTGTGAGTCCAGAATTAAGGAAGATCATTGTTTAAGAGCTCACGTGGGAAATGTTGCTGCTCTGCAGATTTCACCGATGAATTAATGACAAAATTAAAACACTGGCTACAGCTTCACACTTCTTACTGAGCTCTAAGTGCAGAACATCACAAACAACACATCAGTAAACAAATTTCCACCAAAGAGCCACTGTAGGTATATAAAGATATGTGAAGGAAAAAAAATTCCCAACTTGTAAAAATATTTTGCATCAAGTTTTTTTCTTTTGAAAAAATATTGGTTTTAAAGACTTTCCTGAACTTATTTTTAATTTTCTAATCAAATGTTGAACTGGGCACAGTGTCTCTGACACAATGCATCTTTCACAGTAGTTAACAAGTAGTAAGTTCATGTTTGTTGTGCAAAAATGTTAGTTTCCTAGTTCCTCCAGCTGCAACTAGATATGTCTAAGGACATGTCACACACACACACAGACACACACAAAACCGAGCCCACTTCCAGTTTAAGTGCAGGAAGCATTTTTCACAAACACTTCTTCAGAAGTGTTTGTGAAACAGGAATCAGCTGTTATGCTGTGAGCTCTTCGAAAAACATTTTTGCACTTGACCATGTCACAATAAGAGCTGGTGCAACAGGAGGCTTTTAGTGATTTTATCTGCATAAATGTGGATCAGCACATTCATAAAGCAACTGTGAATGAGGATGAGAAACCCAGTCGCATGGTGAGTTGGAGTCCTTGAATTATATTTGAAGCTGTAAAGAAACTGTTTGTTGTATTTATGTGTGCGTTTCATCTTTGGTTTAAAAAACAATGAAAAAATATTTCCTTAACATATTTATCATAGTCATAAATTAGCAAACAGACTAACTCCAGCTTCATGTGTTATGCTAATGTCACTATTCTGCTGCTTAACTCACAGGCAGAGTTATCACATAAAACCTCCTGAGCATTGCCTCTGGAGCAGCACAATCAAGTGAAATCAAACACAGTTGAACATGCCCTTAAAAGGCATCTACTGTATCTTCATCGCCTGAGCTGTTGCTGTCTCATGTCTGCAGCACATAGTTCAGCTCTTTCAAAGTGGATCAGTCTCTAGTTCAGTATGAATATGTAAGCTGGTATACTTTCTGTTGTTTGAAGGACTTTACAAACTAGTTTTTACTATTTCTGCCAATAATGTACTGACTTCTGTTTTCTGATCTGGATCATCAGCCTCTTTCCTGCTCTGTGAAGAAGAGGGGGGCCTCTGAGTGAACAACAAATCTCCTATGATGCTCACAGTCAGCAGATCCAGGTCTCTTTACCAGAGACTAAACTATGATATCAAAGACGGGCTGGCTCTCTACTCCACGAGTCTCCACTCTCCAGCCACAACAGTAAACTGGCTCAGGTGAGGGAAAATGATATTAGTTACTTCAGCAGTATTTTACACAGATGTAGTCCATTATATTGTGTAGCAGTGCCCATGCACATGAGAATTTAATAAAAACAGTAACTTTTTTTCTTAAATCAATCAAGTCTTATCTGATGATCAGGTGCCTGAAAAGGCTTAGTTAGCATACACTAGAGGTGAAATGTGAGCTAATTATATTGCCATTTTTATTATTTATTGTATTTTACTTCAGCTAATTTGTGCAAGCTGTACAAACTTTACATCTAAAACTTTAAAACCACACACATACACACACAAAGGAAACGGTAATTAAAAGAAAAATATGTGACACAAAGGTATATTCATTATGTGAAGATCTAAACTGCTGTCTTTTATTTTATGTAGATGCCACAGGTTGGCATGTGGTGTTAATCACAGCACACCTCCCTCTTGTGGACAAACTGCATTCCATTAAATGTGAATAAGTGATTTAATAAGTTATAATACAGTACGAGGTACCGTGCTTCTAAAAATGAAGCTTATGAACTCTACCCAGAATTCATGAACATGGCATGAGGAAAGATCATTTTCCTACAAAGGTTTAAAAAAGTGCTTTATTTTCTCTGGTGTGAAAAATGTACCAACCTATGACCATGGCTGTCACCACTATATGGGGAATGACCTGAGGAGTTGTTTACACTTTAGATTTATACACCAAATTACTTGAGGTTTGGAAAGATGGCTCTTGTTTTTTCAACTCAGTATCTTTTAATCTGGTTCTTTTTATGCAAAACCAACGAAAAGCCTTTAGACCGTCACTTTGGAGAAAAATGTTTACTCTGAGTATAAATGTACAGTTAAATAAATAAGAAAAATGTAAATGAAATCTTCCTATAGACTTTAAAGTGGCCAGTCAGTTTTCTAGCAGGTTGGCACTGGGGGACTCTGGACTTGTGACCCCAGGGATCTCCTTCTAAAATCTTGTCTACAGCCCTGGTTACTGTGCACTACAGGACCTTTTAGTAAGATTCTGGTTGAGAAGTAAGAAAGACTGGTTGTTTCCTTTGAAAACCAGCCAGTAAAATAAAGGCTGCATGCACGCCTTAGACTGTATTATCTGCAGTAGCCTGCTAAGTGTCTTATCTCCTGATGTCCGAGTCACTTGACGTATATGGATACACCCGCCGCCCTGCCGCCTGACACAGTCCCAAAATAATCTGAGAAAGCACAGCTGAGCCCCGCTCGCCGCTGCACGCTTCTTCCGCGCTGTGTTAGAAACGCTGCCGTGAAATCTACCGTCTGCAATGACGAAGTTCAGCTATTCTGAATACTTATCTCAGATCCGTAATGCTGGAGGTAAATGTAACCATGTTCGGTCGCGGCTACGGGGAGAAAGGAGGAGAGGAGACGGTCCGAGCGACGCAGCGTCAGAGCCGGAGTGAGTCTTTTGTTGTGACCTGTTTGACACGGAGGCTGCGTGTGTTTATAATGTGCGTGCGTGCGTGCACGTGTGTTTTGTTTAGAAAGCAAAATTTGAACTTCATGGCTCAAACACTGCAGATGTCTGTCTAAAATAACACTTAATTGCATTTAAATATAAGTTAATTAAAGTGTGCCCCTCCCCTTTCAAGGGATGTTTGCCCCGTAGTCTCTGCCATCAGGAAAGGGGATGTGGATGCTGTTCATGATCTGGTAACATCTGCTCCTCACAGCCTGCTGAAGGAGAACAAAGATGGGTGGATACCTTTGCATGATGCAGCCTACTGTGGACAGACTGAGTGCTTAAAGATCTTACTGAGGGGTATGACACATGAAAGCATCATTGACAGTCCCAAACTGTGCAGTTGTTCACTATTTGAGCTCAGTGTAACAATGTAGGAAAGGAAACCAGAGATATATATTTGCATGATGCTTGAAAGAGCTGAATTGAGCCATCCAGGTTTGCATGATATATATCCTTTGCTACAGCCCATCCGAGTTCGGTAGACAAGCGTACCTTGCAGGAGCAGACGGCCTTGCTGCTTGCTGCGTCTTGTGAACACATGGCATGTGTGCGATGCCTTCTTGAGGCTGGTGCTGACCCTGATATCAGCAGCAAGAACAAAGAAACTCCTTTGTACAAAGGTACAGCCATGAAATCAGTTGGGTACAATAGAATAAGGATGTATAGCTATATATTGGTCAGGTATTGGATAAAAGGTCTCTATGTTGTCTGTTTCTGCAGCCTGTGAGTTGGAGAATGTGGACATGATAAGCATCATTCTTTCCTACGGGGCCACTGTGAACCAGCGGTGTGGTCAGGGCTGGACAGCCCTCCACGAGGCTGTATTCAGGAACAATACAGAGCTCTGTGAGATACTAATAAGATCCGGGGCCGCAATCAATCCACCTAATACCTTCAGCATCACACCGCTGTTTGTAGCAGCTCAGCGAGGACAGATGAGGGCACTGTGTTACCTTATTGAGAAAGGTACTTTCCTGCTTCGTGTATTGTTCATGTTTCTGATCCCCATTTAAGATTTATAAAGGAAGAATGCTTTTCTTTAGGTGCAGACGTGAACATGCAGACATGTGAAGGAGTAACAGCACTCCATGAAGCTAGTAAAAATGGGCACAAGGAAATTGTGGCCTTACTATTGACTAAAAGCGCAGATGCCAACAAACCAACTAACTCAGGACTGCTGCCTCTGCATGTCGCTGCCCAATATGGTCACCATGAGTAAGTTAAGATACTATAACTAGCTGATTAGTTGTTATTATTATTATTATGGGAATCACTGTTCAAGGTATAGTATTTGTATTTAAATACAAAATTTGTAGTTATGATGTGTAACAGAATTTTTCAGTAGTTATGATAAAAAAATAAATACAATTCCTTTGTACTTGTTATTTTAGTATATATTTTTCCTAATATTCTCACTTTGTTTGCAGGATTGTGTCGCTGCTTGTGCCGGTGACAAGCCGGGCCAGGCTCCGTAACAGTTGGATTAGCCCCCTCCACCTGGCAGCTGAACACAACAGACACACTGTGGCAGCTGTGCTCCTCAAAACAGGTGCAGATGTAAACGCCACACTGGGCCACAGTCACGCCATCCAATATGCTGATCGCCGTGCAACAGCCCTCTACTTCGCTGTCGCCAACGGCAGCACCGAAACAGCAGAGGTGTTACTGAACGCCAGCGCTAGTTTAACCCTGGACCCAGTCAGTCCACTGCTGATGGCTATACATCGGGGCTGTGCCAGAACCGTGTCTTTGCTGCTGGAGAGAGAGGCCGATGTCAATGCCAGAATCCCATCTTATGCTACCACATTCCCTGCTGTCATTGCACTTTGCATGAACAATTTGACTCTACTTAAATGTCTCCTGGACAATGGTTGCAATGCCTTCTCCTGCTTTACCTGTACATATGGCAGTGCCCCTCACCCAGTTTCAGGAGCATCCCAAACAAGAATTGTTGGCAGCAATGGATATGTTTCACAGAATGACAGTATGCCTCCTTTAAACTTCAGTGAGCCATCAGAAAAGGCAACACAGGTGTGGAAAATAAGCTAAATCAGTGTCTGACTTTTCAAAATAACTGAATGTTCTTCATAAGTAATTGAGCTTTTTCTTGATTTCTGATCTTCCTCAGTTCTGTGAATGGATCTCAACACCAGTTATGTGTAAATGGGCTGGACCAATCATAGACTTGCTGCTGGAGCACGTCGGTCATGTTCAGCTGTGCAGCAAGCTCATTGAACTATTGGACAGCCGAGAAGAATGGCTTGCTGTTAAGAGGAAGTCATGTAAGTTTCAGACAAAATCTTATCGCTCACTAACATCCTTATACTTCTCTTTATACGAACACATCTCTTTCATTCTGCCTTTCAGTTTCCCGTGCTTGCATACAACACATGTCCTCAAATAAACAAGTGACAATCCCATTTGTCTTTGTGTTTATGTCTGGTTTACAGTGTCACCTTGTCCACTGCTGCACCTTTGCAGATTAAGGATTCGGAGTCAGCTGAGGACAGACAGACTGAAATCTCTTTCAGTCTTACCTCTGCCAGGCAGACTGATCAGATACTTAAGCCTGGCTGACTGACTGATGAGCTTTAAGCAATATATTTCAGAGGTGTGACTAAATATGTTTTTGGAGGTCTTTTTTTAGTTGTGTCTGATATCCTGAGTCTGTAAATGGCCCTGTCAGAGCGGGTCTCTATGCATAAATGATCTATTTATAACATATGTCATGTGACAATACAGTTTTTTGATCTGTCATTTAAAATGTTTTTTTCCTCACAGAAACCTTCAGTGAAAGTAAAAATGATATAAAGCCCAACGAATTTCTTGAGGGATGTTGAATCGTTTATTTAAAAATAAAAGGCATTGCTTCAGATCTGCCCATCACCCATTACTTCAACAAAGAGAAAGATCTATGCCCCACATTCTGTTCTCGCTGTTGAAAGAGGAAACTAAAACAGGATGCGTTCATTCATTTGCATGACTTTTGGTACTTAAAAAAGAACTGCCATTCTCTGTGGAAACCTAAAGTTAAAGACCTTTTAATTTACTGTCAGTGTTTAAATACTTGGTGGCATCAGAATGGAAAAAGTGAGACGAAGTTATTCTGCAAGTGCAATTTAGTCCTTTAGATTTCAACAATAAAAATAGATGAAGCATTTCAGTAAGTGCTTGAGAAAGTGTTTCATGTTCAAATACCGAAAGAGGAAGAAGCTGTGTAGAACACAAAATGAAAATAATTAGTCCTATTTACATTTTTGAATGAGATGGGTTCATTAGCAGAGTAATTAAATGAATCCAAACACACTGAAGATTGGTGACTGGACGGTGGGTTTGGTCGGTATTGGTTTAACCACAACGTGTGTGTGAATTTTCTGTCCAAATGAATGCTCAGGTCTTCCTGTCTCAGTCCCTGCTGCTTTGCTCCACAGTCCCAGTGGCGGATGGGGGACAACAATGTGACTGTGGAGGACCTGGTGTCCGTGGTACTGGAAGGGGCAGCAGCTGCATACGCTCACACAGTGATGAGAGGTCAGGTCCAATTTCAACGTCTCTTTGTCTGCAAAGATGCGCCGACTGGGCGCAGATAGCGTGACCTTTGTATCTTCATCGTAACTCCTTTTCCTCTTTTCATTTTCACCACCCTCAGATGTGCCCCCCGGACTCTTTTTAAATCCTAAATATGAGTTCTCTCTCTCAGTTTGGGTCAACTTGGGTTCCTCCCAAAACGAGGCTGGTAGTTGGCGTTTCCTCATGGGCAGCTGCTCCACTGCGCTGCCCATGTTCTCCACATCTTGTGCATCTGAATGGGCCTTTTCTGCGACCTTCACACTGTGTTGAACAGTCCCCATTGGTTTGGTGCATCCGTACTCTGCAGACCTGTGTGTGTGGCATCTTGGTACTCTGGAGTACTTCTGAGAGAAGCGCTTTAGCTGTTTCTGCAAATATTTCCTGTGATCCACAGAGCGTCTGCATGGAGCTGATTTGTCCAGTGCGGCCTTGATGTCACTGGATGCCAAATTGACAAAATTCAGCAAGGTTTTGACCTCGCTATCTGCCATTTTTGCCACAACTTTAAACAAATCAGTCCATGTTAGAACTCGCAGTCCATCATCGAGATCTAAAGAGAAACAAGAAAAAACATTTAAGCGCGCTGTTAACTTCTGTAGAAAGCCTAAATTGAATGTGATCTCTCTCACTGCGTATTTTCTTCAGAATGATAACCCTTTACTCACCACTGCTGGATGAATCCAAACCCTCTCGAAGCCAGAATAAAAGCGCAGAACTGTCCTCACGCTGCAGCAGGAGCACACAAGTTGGATAAATATAAACTCCTTGTAGATATGGTGCTCTGCTTGAACCAATCAGCGACCCCCGGCCCCCTCAAAATGCACCCCAATCAGCTTCCAAGCGCCCTGGTATCGAATTCTTCACCATTGCAAATTGTTGTCATGGAGATATGGAAAAAGCCACTGAGGGGATACGATATTTCTCCTACGGTCATTCCTGAGCGTTGGCCAAACGTCCCCTAAAATCCGGAATATGCGTGAATAAAAAATGAGTATAAATTCTGAAATATTAAGGCATTCTAACTTTTTGCACGGGATGTTAAAATTGAGTTTTTTTAATATAGGTACTCCCATACCCTCCCCAAGAGTGATGTCAGCTGTAGGATTTGGTGAGGGGGGGATCTAAAGAGTGCATAACCATGGAAAGGGGCTTGAACGCTCAAGAATCTTGTCTTTCTGTTTGCCCCCTCAATCGAGCGACACAAAGGCTGAATTACTCATTCAAACCTCGCGGGACAAAGGGAAAGGAGCTGGATAGCACTCCTGCATTTGTAGTCAAACATTTAGAGACTTAAATCGAGTCGTCATGAAGGAGAAAGAGTCGCACAAAGCCCATAGAATTGCCATCAGCAAACATTTTCCTCTGTCATATTATGGGGTCTCCATGGCTCCCTCTGGCCCGCGGACAATAGCACAAGTTTGCACACTCGAATACTGTCACCCTGCCAACGGTAACAAGGGCCCAAAACAGGACAATCCTGAGAGAAAGTATGGGCTCCGCGGGGAAGGTTGCAATAGAGGAGGAAAAGGGGACTTGTGAAATGCTAATTGAGCTTCATCCCCTCATTGAAGTGGAAAACGAGTACCTATCGTTTCATTGAACCGCAGCAGCGATGGAATGAGATGTGAGGAAACGGTTTGTATGCTAGCACCTCGTGCTTGTGTACGGTGCTGCCCTCAGAGCTATACACACTGAGTCACTTCTGCACCAGAACACAGAAAAATATATATGCATATATAAAATCTCAGGCCCACAGACTATTTATTTGGAGAGTGAAGCATAGGCTTCATGATTGGTCGCCTCATTCCCTCAGTTTGTCTGAGAGCCCTGCAGGTGTATATATGCTTTTAAGGCAGAGTATCCCTCTTGTTCTGGACAGGCAATGGGATCCTATTGTCCTCCTCTCCTCTTCTTCTTCTCTTCACCTCTTTGTTGAGCTGAAAAGGCCAATTAACAATGGGGCTCCGCTTCCCCTGGCCTGTCACCCCACTCCTGTGCTTTTGAAGTGAAGGAGAATGAGAAAGAGGAAGCGCAGTGGCGTCCACAAAACCACAGTCTTTGTGCCAGGACAGGTGGATGGGAGGTTTGTTGATCATTTCAGATATTTGATGGGTTGTGCTGATCTTTCATTCAACCAACCAATGCTTTCACTTGTCCATCTATAGCGGGTCATACAGCCTGCATCTTCAGTCCTCCTAACACAAATATATTCATACTAACAGACAAGTTAAAGTCTCACTGCTGCATATGTGCATCACGGACAAGCACCTACAGTGACTTGCATATCTTTGGTGCACATGCAAACTATTCAGAAGAGGTTGCAGCCAGGAAGTGTTTGGAGTCTTCAGTTATCCATTTATTGGAAATCCTACACAGCAGTAATGCAACACAAATGTGACTCTGTGTCTGTGATACTTTCATTAGTGGAACTTTCTATGGTATCTGTGAGCAAGATACAAAAAAAAGGATTAAAACAGATAAAAGGAAATACAAACATGAAGCTAAAGCCCAAATCAAATGAAATAACACCAATCTAACACACCGGGGTTTAGAGAGCCATAAAGATAACAATTCTGTATAACAAGCCAAAGAAAAGTGGGAGTAAAACAAAAATGTTGTGTTAGGAAACAAATTGTATCCTTATAAAAATTTACTGGCTATCTGCAAAAAAAAGCAGTAACAAGGGTGCTGTTACGTATGTGTGGATAAATCTAAGGAAAACATGGACAACAAGACAGTAGTGGAATGTCTGACTCCCATGCTTTGCACCAGTTTTTCCCTATAGTAAAATTATTACAATAAAAACTGCCAGAAAGCAATATGCAATAAATCAAAAACTTACATTATACTTTGTTTAATGCCATGGGCCAGTGTACATATGTGTGCTTTAATATATGCAAAAAAAAAAAAAAAACAGCACTTCAGCTCAGTTTCCTCATAATCTTGAAAAAGAAGTGTCTATTTTTCTAGTTATTTCCCTGTGTATAGGAAAACGTTCCAGGACTACTGTCTGAAGGATAAACTAGAAGAAATCATATTAACACACATTACAGTGCATTTCTATGCAACACATTCATGTTTCATGTTTCCAGACTTCCCCACTAGATGGCAGTCTACCTCCACTGTGATACAGCCCGGCTGGACTGTGACAATAAAGGAAAAACAGATAGTAAACACATAAGCAGCTGAGTTAATGCTCACTGAACATTAATATATCTTTAATGACAGAGAGTTTTAAAATCATTTTAGTTGATAGCAATAATATTTTTGGGCTTTATTTGTTTGCAGGGATGCAGATTAGGTAGCTATAGGCAAGACTACTAACAATGAAAGGCCACAGTCATTTTCTTAAGAGCTCTCCTTATCTGGGTTTAAAAGGGATGTGATGTCTGCTATGGCAGATTGCTGGTTGCTGGATGGAGGTGAGACAGCAGGAAGGAACCAGGAGGATGCAGTTCTTGTCTCTTGTCAGATAATCAATAGGGAGACAGACTGAAGGGGAGAATGGATGAGCTAAAACCCTGGACACAGTGTATGCAAAAACCAGGCTTCTTGTATACTTCAAAACTCTGCATTGTACTGTATATGCAAATGCAGATGAACAGCAGCTGTGGTTTTTCCACTCGAAAAGTCATCCACAGCTCTTGTGCATGAGCTCACCCCATTACGGGCTGTAAAGAGCTTTTTGATAGGCGAGAGATGTGATAAACACTCAGCTGCAACAAAAGGCTGTAGGGCTACATTCTGAATCCACCAGTCTTAATCCAAAGTTGTTTAAATGGTCGGCTTGGACGTCTTAAACCACAAGCAATACTCTCAAGCAAAAGACAAGTCATATGGGGCCAACAAATGATTGTGGATTTATGAAACATGAATAAGCAATGAAAATGATATGCAGGCTTTGCAGCATGTTTGTGTACTGAGCAGAGGAACTGTCCTGCAAAACAGACACCTGGCAATCAGCCATAGCCCTGCTGAAGTGCCTTAGAGTTGTTTCCTTACTGCATTGATGGCACTGATGCTCCTTAAAAAGATCCCTGTAGATATTACAGGAGGTGAAATTACTCAAGACATGTAGTGTGTTCAGAACTGATTAAGATGTGCATTGCTTGCTCAGTGAATAAGCGAATCATCTGGTCTAGAAAATAGTCAGAAATGCCCATCACATGTCATGAAATGTACTGTTTTGTCCAACCAACAGTTTTACAGTGATATAAATCAGTGGAAAAAACAACAAACCCTCACAATTTAGAGACATGGAATTTGCTATTTCTTGCATTTTTCTTGTAAAACCATGTAGATCATCTCTGTGGATCAACTAATAGTTTCAGCTTTAAAATTGTGATTAAATCACCCACTGTTATCACTATACTAGTTAGACTTTTATAAATGTGATTATATCAAACAATGTGGTGGTGCCAACTAAAAATTTAATACAAATAATACAGATTCAAATACTGAGTCTTCCATGTTCGCTAAGCTTCGCCTGTAGTTATTAATGCCACCAACACAAAGGCTAAGGTTATACTCCCACTGTTCGTCAACTATTTTGGTAAATCCCAATAAACTGTGAATGTCACGTTGGCTCTCTAATCATTTCATAACTGCCTAGTGAAGACCACCAATAATATTATGCAGCTCTGCTCTTTGAAGCCACCCAAATACACTCTGGCCTAAAGCATCACCTCTTATAACCTATATGGATTTGCTGCGGAGCACTACCAGTAAATGCCAGGTTACATCAGTATTGTTTTATCTCAGCCTACTTCGGGACATTGGAGTGTTCTAGTACAGCACACAAACACGAGTAATGTTTTCAGTTGGTAGGCGTCTTGCACTCTCTCTCCCTCTCTTCCTCCACTTGACTTTAATTCGGTCTAGTACGCGTCATCCTCCAGGACTCGCCTCCACGCATTATTGTGGGCTATACTTTCTGCCTGAAATACTATAAAATCCAACGCAAACAAAAACAAAACAAACAAATCACAGCTGACATTACTCACTCCCCCAGTAAGCACATCCCTTTCCCCTTGTGCTTCTTTGGAGGGGACTTTGTGAAGAAGCGGAGGATGAATCTGTTTGAGCACACGCTGTCAGGATGAGCTGATGTGCGCGCTGCATCAAGTGCGCGGTGGTGATGCTCCGGTATAAAACAGCCCGTTGTATTTTGGCACACAGGGGGGATGCATCAGTTTAACCCTCGGCTCTGCCCTCCGAACTCGCCCGTACAGTATTCAGTCTAGATAAGTTGAGAGGATGTGTGATCGTATTGCGAGGAATCCTGCCGCACGATATTGCTGAGGATCTCTCTCTCTGTTCGCTTTCTCTTCAACTTCGATGGCTTGAGTGGCCCGTTGGTACTCATGCTCGCAGCCGAGGAGGGATGTAAGGCACCGGGCTATCTACAGCCCTCACACTGCACCGAGTAGCGGCGTGATTCCGGTCGCTATTTGAGTGCCAATACGCAAAAAAACTACTTTTGAGATGTGAGTTATCGAGATTTGTTACTCGTTTGACCGGGTCGACTGTCCTATGCTATCGACAACGGGATATCAAGAGGAAAATGATTGTGGCATAAACTATTTCTGGAGACGCCTGTCACAGATATCGCCGCTGAACTGGACAGGGTGGATGGTTATTTCCCAAACAGTTCAAGCCTATGTATACTGCATTCATTTGTTGGAAACGCTGCCTAGTATTTTCGAGAACAGCGCAAGAGGAATGCTGGTCCAAGATTTAATGCCATTCACTTTAGGTTTTTGGCCTTTTTTCTTCAGTCATTGCCTTCTCTCACTGTTTTTACTCTCATGTCAGGTAAGGATCATGCTGATGCGCTCCTCTTGTCAGTTTACACTAATGTAACTGGAGTTCGATTTACTGATGATAAGAGCTGTGGAACTGGTTCGCTTCTTTTAAGTAACTTAAGGTGCTCATTTTGTGACTTGTGTTTAGGAAATACTGACAGGCAGGCATGTGTAGAGTTTCCAGTCAGGCATGAGAAATGTACAAAGCTACGCACAAGTACACACACACACACACACACACACACACACACACAGCGCTCTTGTAGTGGAATAATGGAGTCGCCAGCTGTGTTTTTATAACAATAGCTATCCGGTTATCTCACCAGGATCCCTCAGCAGGCATATGTTAGTGATGAGTATTCTAACCTCTGCCCTGAGCTGCTGCCTACAGATAGTGTTGAACTGATGTTCACACATACGCAGTGTTGCCAGGGTTCACATGTAATGTGATCTGCTTGAGTTTCCAAATCCGCCCACGCACACTCCTTGGGGCAGCCTGCTGCCCACTCTGTTGGTGGGTGGTTTCTTGCGGTGATCGGGCTGCAGCCATAAACGTGATACTATTCTGTATGTACAACACAGCAGCCCAGATGACAACAACACTTGAGCTGTGATATGAAAAGAATGCAGAGAGGATATCCACAGTACCACTAACTAAAAGGCCGCTGAGTGCTCAGGCATCTCCATTTGTGCTGCACAGTGTTGTGCTAATGGTATTTGAGAGTAATGCACTGAAGGACAGAGCAATCTCGCTGTTCCCCTCTCACACACCATAAGGGAGAACTCCAGAGGTCATGCTCACGAACTGTGGCGGAGAAAGTTAGTGAACAGTGCCAGCCTGCATGCCACTGTAGAAGATACCCTCCTCTTCCTCCGCCGCCACCACCACCGCCTCCTCCACGGCTACTGGGCACGACAGGTAAGATTCACACTCACACTCCCCAGGTTTCACACTCATCTCGCTCCAAGTCTGTCTCACTCTGTCTGCTCGCACCCCACAGCTGGATATTATTCCTACCCAGGCACAAGTGTTAAGCTACTGACTAGTCTGAAGAAACTATTTTGACGTGAAGTGTTTCCTTTAAAGCACAGAGGAAAAATGTGCCATCGACCACTTGAGAGTGGTGTAGGAGTGCCCATGCACGGGTGCAGTTTTGCACGTGCGTCTGCACGCACGACAGAGCCAGCAGGGTGCTGACAGTTGAACACAGGACTAATTTATGCTGGGTCTGACCTTGGGGAGTACCCAGCTGCTTGTGAAGTCCAAGCCTGCTGTGCTGCCAAACTCAGTGGTTCAGTGATAGGGTTTCCCCTGGAGGACTCCTGATTAAAACACAGATGAGTTCATTAAATTAGCTTTAATTTGATAGAGATAAGAAGCCGATGAAGCCACCCAATGGTTCCAGCTTTGTTTTGAAGTTTAGCTGGCGGCAGCAAGGTTGTGTGTGTGTGTGTGTGTGTTACTGCTTCTACACAACAACCCTGTAAATCTGCATGGACCAAGTGCCTGTTGCTGCAGTTTTCCTTCAATGCGCCCTCATTTGTCTCACTCTGAGATAGCAAATCCCTCCACAGATATGCAAACATGTTCCACTAGCCTGCCTGCTGAAAGTTGATATGATTTGTATGTCATTTCAAGCACCTTAATGAACAGTGCACTGAAATATGGGGCAGGGCGTTGGTGATGATGCAGCCTTTCTGAGCTATTACCGTGATTCTGTATAATCGCTCACCCTCAGCCCTTAACGTTATGAGTAGGGAGCAGTACTTAATCATCAAAATCTCAACAGACAGCAGTGGAAAGGTTTTAATCAATCAGTTCCAATGATTTTGTTTCTGTCTGGTTAATTTACACGGACCTTCTTTTTTCCCCTGACTCACCATGTGCGCCACCTATGAATAGAGTCATAGACCCTTCTGTGATTGTTGTCAAGGTCACTGCATAAATGCTGCCAGGACCATCTGACTGTAAGCCACAGTGGCGGTTTGAATACCCAGTCACAGCAAACACATGAGTGGAACTCTGATCTCTGCAGCCACAGCATTTGCTGCCTCCATAAACCACAGTGTGTCATGATAAACATGATGAGCAGGCCAATTTTTTATTCCTTTTTTAACTTTACCCAAATGTTTGCAGTGGGTTGACACACCATGAATAATTCACTTATACGGAATTTTTATTCTCAGTTTTTAATTTAATCTATACGGGTACATAATTATCTTGTTATTCCTCCAGGAGCTCAATTTGCAGGGCGGTTTGAGATGAAATTTTCCTGCAAACTGTCATCTTTAAAAATGCAGTGAATATGCATAAAAACTGGGACAATGACTGAGATGTTATTTATCTGCTAAAAATATAAAAAGAATGATAATAATAAGGAATTGGCATTGTAAGTAAGCATCTGTGTGCTAAAACTGGTTTCTGAAGTCCCTTCAAAGGAGTGTGCTGTATCACAATAAAGTAGATCCTTACCACCGACTGAATTAAAGCCCACAGCCACCGATAAAAGGCAGGATTAAAATGAAAGTTTGCCTGAGAGGAGCTTTTAAATTCATAGTGACTTATGATGTGATGTACTGTAGCAGGTAGAACTGTGCCTTGTTCTACTTGTGGAGTAGAAATGTGCTGTGTTGTGAAATAGTCTACAGCCATTACAAAGGAATATTTGTTGCTAAGGTGTAAACCCTTCCTCTCATTCATAACAAAATAATACCACATGCAGGAGTTTGTTATTCTATATACAGTGCAGTATGTTGTGTGAAACTGGAACAAACCCAAACTCATAGATGGATATAGAACTGAACTGATTTATAGATGGCAGGAGAGTACCAGAGACATTTTACTGATGCACATAAAGTTATGCAACCTTCCTGGTGAGTGGTCTTACTCCACACATCTAATGGAGAAACAGCAGGAGATTTCTGCAGCAGTAATTTGTGTGGACAACAGTGCTGGTGTAAGGGAGGCTGACGAGGCCTTTAATGATTCATGGTGTCGGGCTGGATATCTTTGAACACTGAACCCAAGACCTACAGCGCAGGCGAGGACACAGCTACCTCTCAACTCAGAGAGCAGGGAAGGAAATCACCTTGATGCTGCTCTGTTATCATGTTGTATAATCCAGTGACTAAGACTTTAATAACAAAACTCACATCGCTGTTATGGAGGGAGAAAGCACCGTAATAATAGTAAATGTGTTTGGATCTATTTTGTTTGATACATTCCATTTATTCTCTTCTTCTGTATCCACATCTCACATGCCCCCTCTTCCCTCTCTTTCTCAGGGCCACAACCCATGGTGCCCTTGTTGAGGCCCTGGTGGATGGAGATGGACATTATAGTGCTTGCAACGGTGGGCTGTGCCTCAGTTGTCTTCCTCCTCTCAGCCATCATTATCTGTTACAAGGCCATCAAGAGGTTGGATGTCACTTTTCTATTTTCTGTTCTGTTCTTGTATATTCCAGTTAGATCGCACCGTGCCAAGCAGGTTACTCACAATATCATGTGTAAATTGACCCATGGAAGAGAGACTGGGCTGTCTCTTCTAGCTGTGTGTCAGAGTGACACAGGAGGCTACGATGGCCCTGTCATCGCCCTGCTGGGTCACACTGAGGGCAGAGGTTTGATAATGGATTGGGTTGTAAATATCATTACACTGAGCATCCTGTAGTGTGAATTAATTTCCTGAGGCGCATGATGACCCAACTAAACAATGCTGTGTAAATTTTAATTCACATAATTGTCTAAAGCTTCATCGAATGGGAGCTGGACTAAGTGAAAGCAAGAGGCGAGCAGAGAAATCCCAAGACACTGCTGTTCCCCATTTGGCTTATTAGAGATTTAAATGGTTTTAATCTGCAGCACAACCCATACTCAGTTCACACCTGCACACACGCCCACGTCTACATCATGTAAATCACTGCACATGCACAGAGGCATGTGTGCACACATCCATAAACACATGTCATCTTTACGTACATGTGTACATCATCTTGGCATGTTTATACACTGTAAAATACCCATGCAATAACAGCTATGTGTGTGTGCTAAATTAGGGAGCTTATTAATGTGTACTTAATAGATTTAGTATCATATTTATGGGACTACATTAAGCCTGCATGCCAGATATGGCTCTCCTCAGCAGAACTCTATTTCTCCTTTCTTTAAAGAACAAATAGGCAAAGTCAGGCGGTGGAAGTAATGGGTGGTTGGCTCAGGAATTCATTATGGCAATTCTGCAGCCCCATGTGTAGCCAAGGGGCACCTTTTTAATGCAGCAGTGGTAGCAAAGTGTTGTTGCAATACAGAATCTAGCCCCAAAGTCAAGTCATTATTTATGAATTAATTTGCGCAGTCATTCAGTCACAGGCCACATATTTTATACATGCAAACGGGTCGTGTCCTGGAGCTCTGCAGACTTTGTACCACACCAACCTGCCCGTCACTCCGCATGAGAAGGAATAAATGCACAGGTCCAGCCAGACTGGCCTCATCAGACATTCATTAGTCACCAGCCAATGGGAGAACAGTCCAGGAAAAAATATGATTCATTTAACCTTTGTCATGGATGCGCTAATCATCTGTCTGAGAGGAAGGCTGAGGAAACAGCACGGTAAAAAGCACAGGTTAAATGCTGTCTACCAAAGCAAGAAAAAGGCAGCAATTGAGCAGCTTAGTCAATAACAATGTGAGAGAGGGTTTTTCAGTGATAAAAAACACTGCCAGTTATATATAGCCCTTCCAGCCCCTCAGTTCTCCGGGCTTTCCCAATGAAGATCAGCTGGCTGAGGGCCAAGCATAGACAGTAGAGGAGCTAGCTCTGCGGGTCCCAGCACTCTTGGCTGTTTGTTATGCTTTAAAATCTCTGTCTGCCAGTCATCTGTCAGAAGCCAAAGGAGCTGGAAAAAAGAAACCACTTCATACAATTCTTTCCACAGCACCAGGGAGGCTGGTGTGTGCAAGCATAGCGAAGAGGATTCAGACACATGCTGCGTTTCAGTGTTGCTGTGCCATCCAAAGACATGATGCTGCAGTCCAGGCTCTCAGCCATCATCCAAAACAAACACAACTGAAAGCAACTGACTAATGAAGCTAGATGCTTTCCCAATCACTTACCGCTTTGGGGGGCTTGTCCAGAACGATAATACGTCACAGCTGGTCCGGTCCAAGGGGAACACATTATATACAAAATGCTCAACCAGAGATACAATAAAACGGCAAAATGCTTTAAAAGGCAATATTCATTGATACGTTATTAACACCATTTTCGGTCTGTTTTGTAATACTGTTTCTTTGATCTGTATCATGTTACTGTAAACTCCAAATGGCTGGAGTAATTGTAAACAGCTTAACACATGTCCCAATTTTGCCATGATCCATTCTCTAAACTTCAAACAGGAATGTGTGCTGTGATTGCACAGCTTTGATATGAAATATTCATCTAACCTGTGAAGTGTTGTGTTGCCACCTGCCATGTGTCAACAGCATGGCATCTATTATTGAAGGCCTGGGTTGAGGTCGGTTTGAGGCCCCAGTGCTCTGCCCTGTGTGGTGGTCCGGAGCAACATGGTCAGTGTGAGTGGAGATTACATCCTGGGAGAAACAAACAGGGTGGAAGTATTTTCCAGCAGCCTGTAGATCTCCAGTGTCAAGTAATATTTTATACTATGACAGATGAAATACTGATCTGTTAAAAATATAAAACAATTTAACCATTGGTGAGTTGCAAGGACGTTGTATAACATTAAATGCAGAACCTGCCATGTCAAATAAAAATGTATTTTGCGTAATGGATATTCATAATCATCTTGGTTATACATGATGCTCCAAAATAATAACTCAAATATTATTATTAAACTTGAGATTATACAATGCCAAAGAAAAGCTCAGCGTGCATTGTTAGCAGTTAGTGTTATTTATATGACTTTATTTTTATTAATATGGTTGTAACAAATTATAACAGGAGCTTTTAGCCATGTTTTTTTATCTTAAGTTAGCATGTTAGCATACCAACCTTTGCTAATTCTCGTAACTATTGCTGTGTTCACGTGATGTCATTCAAACCACAGAGCAGCCAAATGGGAAAAACCACTTACTTCAACCTCTGACTTGCAGAAAGCAGGAATTTCTGATCACTATATCTCTCACTTAGCAGAAAGGATTGCGGAACTGTCATCATTAGTGGTGTGAAAATGGCTTCAAAACAGTCATCACCAGCATCCATCCATCCATCCATCCATTTTCCTCCACTTATCCGGGACCGGGTCGCGGGGGCAGCAGTCTAAGCAAAGATGCCCAGACCTC